TGTTTTTTGAGGGGGAGTTATAATCAAGTAGTGTATAAATGTTATGGAATAAAATTTTTTTGATGAAATAAATAGTGCAAAGATGTTTATTTAATCCACATGATGGGTTATGGAACATGTATAGCATGCTGCATAGAGACAGCTACTCAATGTAATTCAAGCAGCTGTTTCCTACGCACCACCCCCAAAGTAACATTTCCATGACTAATATAAAAAACACTCCAGGATTAACCACAGTACTCCTATGAAATTTAAGGATGAACGGTTCCTAAAACTCAGAGCCGACTCTGTTCATGCTATTAAGATTTGCTGTCAGAGCTCGCACAGCATAGTGAAGGCAAATATTTGTTATTTGAGGAACAAAAGATGTGCATGACAATGACTCATCCCAGAAAAAAATTCTTGGGAAATTATACACTCTTAGGGATAGGAAGAACTGGAATGACCTAAAACTAATTAAGTCATAATGGAACACCTAAAATCCTGTTTCGGCCAAACATTTCCAAAACACACTGTCCAATGCAGAAGGGGGAGGTATGGGGAAGTCGGGGAAGTAAGGTTTATGAAAAAGAGGTTGTGAAATTATACGTGTTTATATGTTTGTGTGTTGTTTATTGTATTGTTTTTATTTATGTTGGAAAATTAATAAAAAATTATATAAAAACAAAACAAAACACACTGTCCAAACTTTAGTTCTTCTTTGGTGTTTTTAAGAATGTGTAGGAACTAGAATGCTTCTGCGGAATGTTTTTTTAAAACATGTTTCTGTTCTATCAATTTCCAGCAGTTTTCCTTGAATAAAATGTCAATATTCTAGGTTATATACCTTGTAGCTCTTGTACCAGTGTGGATAAACTGAGGAGAGGTCCACCATGTTTGGTTAATAAAAACTTGACAGCCATGTTTTCCCCCTCTTTCTAGTAGCAAGTGAAGCAGAGATTTCTCACTCCCCCTTCCAAAGCAGCCAAGTACATGCATGCATCACTTCTGTAGGGCCATTTGGTTACAGATGAGTGAGGAGGACATTTAAGTGCCCTTGAAGAAGGCATTTATGAAGTGGGCTGGCCTGCTAAACCTTTGCTGCATGGATAAGCCAACACGAAGCCCCCAGTATGTTGTTAGACTCCAGCTTCTATCAACCCAAGCTAGCACCGGCAAATGAGAGATGTAATCCAACAGTATCTGCAAGGGAACATCCTTATTCAGTTTTATTATTTTGCTCCTCAGATACTCAGTCTCTTATTTTCTGCTTGTTATCAGCACCTTCCACCATTTTCCTGCCCATCCATGCCATACTCACAGGTTAGGAAAGGTATTTTTCTTACAGAAAAGAAAGCTGAAACCCTTCTGCTTCACAAAACCTGCCACAACTACTGCATCCTGACACAAGATATAGTTTACCTACATTCTGAAGTAGTCATCTCTGCATCCATCTGCCTACACATGGCTTTACATTTGTGGTGGAATGTAATCAGAAACTTTGCCTGGAATTGCCCTAGTGACCAAGCTACTGAATTTGTGGATTGCTGAAACACATAATGATATTCACCTTCTACTGCAAATGACTTTACAGATGTGCAACATATGCTTATTCAGAATATAAGAAATATGTTGGTGATGTTGCTGTTGATTCAGTTTATATTTTGCCCTTCCTCCCAAAGTAGCCCAGTGTGCAAAGAGATTGTTTTTAGAATGTTTTAAAAGGTATCAATCACATTCTCTCACCCAATGGTTTCAGGCTTCCTAGGAGCAACATCTTTCAGCCTGGGTAAAAAGTAATGTTTTGAAATTTCTTCTGAAAGCCAATAATGAGAGAAATAGATACCTCACCTAGGATAGCATTCCACATATGGTGAACTGGAACTGCCATATGTGGCATGTGATAAGATTTTAACTGGTGCTTGCAATCTGTAACTTCTACAGTAGCTAGAGAAGACACATTCAGTGTGCTTCTGTCCTGCATTAGCGACATTCACACACAAAAAGCAAAAGGGTGGATTCAAAGGCCCTTTTGGAGTTATGCTTAAAGTATATGTTAGACTTACTTGGCATGGCAAGTTCAGGGAACAAAAACATTGCCACTCTGGAATGAAACAATGTTTTCTCCCCACTAATTAGCAGCTGTAGCTCTTTTGTCAATATTTTACAACCACAGTCCAATGTTTGAAAAGTTGTTGCATGATTAAACAAAATATTGGGAAATGTATTGGGAATGGCTATCATAATCTAATTAGGAAGAGGATTCCTTTGAACTTAACAGGAATTGCTCCCAAACAAATACATTTAGGGTGGGGCTGTATGACATTAGTAATGAGTGATAACACAACTGACAAATGCTTTCTGTTGCCAAAGCATACAATTCATTAGCAGTATCGGTTTCCTCAAAGAAATTCTGATTTGTTCTTCCACTCTAGGATACAGTGGCAATTGAATGCTAGCCTCCCTTTTCCAAATGTCCCCGTAGCATCAACCCACAAACTAAATGAACTATCCAGATTTCAGGAACTAAAATTTCTCAACTGTACTCAGAAACAATGTTGGATTAAACCCTGTGGAGGCCCCTAGGCCAGTGTTTCCCAACCGGTGTTCCGCGGCACACTAGTGTGCCGCCGGACGTTGCCTAGTGTGCCGTGGGAGGGAGGCGGGCGAGTCGGGCTAATCCTCCGGCCCCGCTCCCCCGGGGAACGTGCCCCGTCATCCGCTTCTGCCTTGCTCCCTGTGACAGGAATTCCCCAAACTGCATCAGCATCTGCCGCTTGCCCAGCAGCCCCGGCGCTGCCTTGCGCCCGGCGCCCCCGCCATCCTCGGCGCAGGGAGCGAGGGGCGCGCAGGCAGGCGCTGCCCGGCGGAGCGACGGCTCCTTCCGAGCGGCTGGCAGTGTCTGGGCATGACTGGCCTCCCGCCTGGTCCCGCGGCGGCTGCAGACGCGGCCGAAGCAGCGCAGGGAAGGAGACGCCCGGCCGCCCAGCCCCGCCCCGCACGCTCCCACTCTCTCTCGGCGGCCGGGGAGCGGGGCCAAAGCGGGCCCCCACCTGAGTGGCGGCTGCGTGAGCCAATAGGCGAGCTGGGGCAGAGGGGGAGGCGGGGCTCCGGAGAACAAAGGAGGGAGGGGGCACCCGGGAGAAGGGGGCGGGGCGGGAGGAGCGGGGAGCGCGGCGCTGCGCCCGGGACGCCCCAGTTCCGCCGGGTTAGAAGCCGGCGGCCTACCTCTGCTGGCCGTGGAAGGCAGCCGGGTCTGGGTCGCGCCCCGAGAGTGGCGGGGTCCGCGCACAGCCTGCCCTCCAGGCTGGGAAGTGGCTCCTAGGCTCCGCCTGAAGCCACGCAGAGCCCGCAAGGCGCCCTCGGCGCAACTTGGCCGGGGCAAAAGGCGAAGCTCTGGAGGGAAAGGCGGCCGGATTCCCCTCCTCGGCGGGTCCGGTGGTCTCCCGCCTCCTCTGAGGAAGGGTCTCTTCTTCAGCTTTTCTGATCCTTCGTGGCCCCGTTGGGAGAAGCCGAAATAAATAATGGCCGTGCCATTAAAGTTCTCTCTTTTATAAAAGGGATCCTAATAGAATCGTAGAGTTGGAAGGGATCCCCAGGGCTATCCAGTACTGTACAACCCCTGCAGTGCAGGAATCTCAGCCATAGCATCCATGGCAGACAGACATCCCACCTCTGCTTAAAAACCTCCAAGAAGGGAAAAACCTCCCGAGGGAGACCATTCCCCTGTTGAACAGCCCTTACCAGCAGAAAGTTCTTTCCCATGTTTAGTCAAAATCTTTATTGTAACGTGAATCCACTGGTTCGAGTCCTACCTTCTCTACCTTCTATGCTGTTACTATTTTTTTATTTTTTTTTACATAAGTAAAAAGTGACCTTTCCCCATCTGGCATGGTGGTGTGCCTCGAGATTTTTTTCATGAAACAAGTGTGCCTTTGCCCAAAAAAGGTTGGGAAACACTGCCCTAGGCAGTCGAAATCTTGGGGGGGGGGATCACAAATTATCTCCTAATACATCTTTTATTTTACCAACCAACAATTTTAATAAATCAATTGTGATCTGTTGTTGCAGGGCCCCCAAAATGTGTGGGACCCCATAACCCAGTACCTACTCTGCCTGTTTTGTAAACTGGCAATGCTCAGAAAGAATGAGGGGGTGTGTGATTTGGTCTGTCTTGATCTGCTACACAGTACTTCTTAGACTTTAAAAGTGCTACATAACACTTTGTGCATAAAATCTAACACAGTAATAAAAACAGTTCCTCTTGAGAAATCCCAAGCTTCCAATGGTGGGTATACCTTTGAACCAAACATATACTGTAAGCGGAAAAGGACAGCGATCTGCACACCATCTAAGCAGTGGATTTGCGATTATTGGTAAGCTCCTTTTAATCGTTTCTGATCTTAAATCGAAGCGGCACATGAACTAACCAATCCATCAGAAACTAAACGCCGCATATACCCCTGCCAAGATTACACTCTAGACATCTGACCAACTGGGCTCGAGAGCAGAGAAGCTTCTGTCATGATGCATTTGTCCATCTTCAACGTGCCACAAGACTGACTGTTGATGCAGCCTCTGAATGCAGGCCAACGGGTCTGCCACCACCAAGGGGTTGGCCCCGAGTTGGCACCCACGAGCAGCAGCACCGCAAACCCTCTGCGTTGCCTGTTCGATCGACAAGGGAAAGTCCTTTCTGCAGACCCAGTTCCCCAGCAGCTAAACTCAGAAGCCGAGCACTCGGCACGGGCAGATCCGCCCTGGGCACAGGCAGGCTGAGGAGTCTTAGGAATCGCAATCCAGGGAAGACGAAAGCGAGCGCGGCCGGCAAGCAGGCGCTGGCGCAGTCCCAAAGGACCCTGCCACGCAGCCAGGGTGGGGCTTCCGACCGTATCCGCCTGGGAAGAGGAGAAGGGTGGCCTCCAAATGGAGGGGCTTCCTCGTCTCGCTCCTTCTCCTTACAGAAGGGAATGGCTTTTCCCCGCCCGCCCCCCCCCGCCTCAAAAACAAAACCTCCTTACCTGACCCGCACAACAGCGCGCGGACATGGTCGCCCCTCAGACGGCGAGCCCCGGGCTGGCCGCGCGCAAATCCCCTCTCCGTCCGCACCTGCCCGCTCGCTCAGGGAAGCGGCCTCGCGCCCGGACAGCAGCCGAAGGCTTCCTCAGCCGCCCAGCCCTCGGTTGCCGAGGCGCGCAGAGAGCGCACACGCGCCCCCTAGAGCAGCTGGCCGGGCCTGAGGCGCTCGCCGCGCTCGCCCCGACGCATGACACAAACACGGGAGCCTGGCGAGCTCGGCTTCTGCGCTGCAGGGTAAGTTGCCCGAGCCCAGCTCGGAGCGCGCTGGAAGCTTCCGCTGTCGTCAGTTTTTTGCTTGGAAGGAGATAAATGGCTTTCCGGTGCGGGAGGTTAGGAACGGCCCGCCCCGTTTAGGAGACGGGAGACAGGAGGAAGCAGCCTGGATGGAAGGAAGCAGGCGCGCGGCGGAGACCACCTGTCCTCGTTCTCACGCTCCGAAGTGAAACGCAGCGCGAGGGCACCTGGGATTGAGGTTCCCCAAGGAGAGGGCGGAGCTACCGGCCTGCGGGCGCCGGTTGGCGAGGCGCCTCCTCCGAGGCTGGTGCCGTCTCGGAAGGAGGGACGCCTCTCGCGGGGAGAGCTGCTGCGGCTTCTGCAGGTGTTGCGTTACCTGCATCCATCCTTCGGCCGTTGGCCTGGAAGTCGCTTCCGATTTGCTTCTCACGCGATCTGGTTCACAGGATACGTTTGCTTGTAAGCCATCAGAGCAGTTCTCTGCTGGACCCGAAGTCTCTTATTCTAGTCTATTGTCCTCTTTCCCACAGGGATCGACCAGATTCCCCTGGGAAGCCCACAAGCAGGGCATGAAAGGAATAGTCTCCCACCGCCTTTGGTCAGAGGCAGATTGCTCTGGAGATGAGGTGGAAGAGCTACCGCCCTAACACACGAATTTGTCCCATTCCCACAGCTTGTCGCAATTATTCCTATACTGCGAACCAGAGGGACACTGATGTTGGAAGCAGCAACTTTGGTCACCGCTGCAGCAATTAAGGGACTTGCTCCAGCACTGGGATCTCTAGATATAAACTAGTCATGCCCATGCTAAATCTTTACGGCAGTAGAAAAGATAACAGGGTAGGCCTTGGTCTGCTTGGCTGGGGGGTTCAGTGAAAAAATCATTCAGGCATCCCATATTATCACAAAATAAATGTTTTAGGATTTACTCGCACAAGAGCAGCTTTGTTTCAAATTCATCTAGTCCAGCATCCTCTCACAGTAGCCGACCAGATGTATCAAGAAAGCTAACAAGCAGGAATTCAGGGCTTATTTTCACTCATGGCTTACCAGGGGGCTTGGTAGTAATATCCCTGTTAGGTAGAACCTACTCTCTTTTTATAAATGTGGAATTAGGGCCTTGCCCTAAATCCACCATACCAGTCTAGGCTGAAGCAAGGTACAGATACAGAAACTTTCTCCACTGTAGAATATGCTTTTTAGTCACAGCCATCTCTGGTAATACTGTAGCTCATATTGACACCCAATGAAGCCCTTTCTTCTACTAAATCACCATATTTTCAACAACTGCACTGGCATATGTAACGGGAATGAAATTCCTACACATTTTGGTGGTTGTTTTTTCTTTGTCTAGAGCAGATACTGGGGAAACAAAGATTCACCCATACTGAGACTTCCAATCTCTGCATCTGGGATTCCAGCCTCCGGGGCATTTCTAGCACAAGGTCTCATTCATCAGTACCATATGCCAATGAGTCTTTAACTTTTTTATTTTTTAAAAAAGCAAAGCAATAAAAATACATGGTTTTTAGAGTTTAACACTACACACATTTTACATGTTTACATTTACAAATTACGCTTTAATCCATATTGTGACTTTTGAGTTTTCACATTATTTGATCTTTTCAGACTTCATAGCAGCAGAAATATTCAATATCCCTGTTTCCACAGTAGTCAAAACACCAATTTTTTGGGTAACCCTGGGAAGAGAGAGGTAAGTTTAATGCACATCAGTTTGTCTTTCTTTTTCTTATGTCTTTCAGCAATAGTAAGATTGCTTGTGCCTAACCTATTTCAAACTTTTATCACAATTACATTGTTTTAGTTAGTGTCAAAATGTGGGCTAGCATATGGAGAACAAACTCTACTGTCCATTTCCATTTCAACTGTGGGTGTGTAGAGAAAGAATACTGCTTCAGTATTCTTTGTGTCTCCAGTGTCCCTACTGTGTCTCCAATACAGTCTGCTTCCTGTCCATGATACTTCTCTGCTCTTCTCAGATCTGTAACCATCTGCCAGCAAAGGTTATAGGTTTTGGGACTGGAACAGATAAGGAAGAATCTCTGGGCTTTTGCCAGGTTCTTGAAGCATCATTCATCAAAAAGTCTCATTTGAAAATAGCATAGCTGACGTCCTCCACTTAGACAGCTGCCCATGTTAGGTGCACTGCACAAGGATTTGTCAAGCCTAGACTTCCCTGCTTACAATGGCAGAACAACTGTTGCATCTCAGGCAGATGGAAGAACACCTGATCTTCTAAATCATGCTTGGCATATCATAAACACATTCTCTCCCTTTGGGGAACCAACAGTTGTTAGTGTTACATGCGTACTAACATTAAACCATGTTGTTGTTGTTGTTTTGTTGTTTTGTTGTTTAGTCGTGTCCGACTCTTCGTGACCCCATGGACCAGAGCACGCCAGGCACTCCTGTCTTCCACTGCCATTAAACCATAGTTTAAACCACTGCCATTAAACCTTCCACTTCCATTAAACTATAGTTAGTTTCAAGGGGGGGGGGGAATAGTTTCAAAGGGAAAAAATAAAAAATCAAGAAGATCTGTATCAAAATGAAGTGAAAGAATGCAAGACTGAGAAACTCTCCTGATCTCATAATGATTAGCTAGCCACACTCCCATCCCCCGAAATATTATTGCAATATTAAGTGCAAAAGTTGGTGTGAGCAACCCTACAACGTTGCAACCCTTTGGTTAGAATGGCTTAAGTCAGCTAGGGTATGCACACTGATGCTAGGCCCAGGCTAGCAAATTAGATGTTACATTGTGAAATAAATAAATATAAATTTTATACATCGCTTGACTGTAAAAAACCTCAAAGTAGTATACAAAAGATAGAATCATAAAATCGGGTGGGGGGACCAATACTTTACAACATACAAGAAATTAAAATACTTTAAAAATATTAAAATTCACACCAGCTTTTCTGGGTAGGCATGACTAAAAATGTTTTTAGCAGGCAAAGGAAAGGATATAGTGAGAAATCATATCTGGACATATGATAAGTGTTTAAATTCTACACTTAACATTGGAAGAGACTATTTAAAAATGTTGCTACCTTGATCTATTCCATCCAGTCTTTTCCTTTTCAAATTTGGAGCTGGGTTTTGTTGCTCTTTCAAGACTTCTGCAGGGCAATTGGGTCTTGGCAACTGGCTTCCAGGTGTTGGTGCTGGCCGACTGCTAAAATACTTCTGTTTTAGTGCCTTCAAGAGAACAGAATGAGATAACAATAAAAAATGACACTACTGTATTTAGAAATGACACTATTTCTATAAAGAGCGTGAGGGGTGGCAGTGGTGGTGGTGATGGATAGCGTCTATGGTCACTGAGGCTGTCTATGGTTCCTCACAATATCAGTTCTGTGGAGGTTTCCCCCTGCAAGATTCTGTGTGCATGTGTGTGTTGTGTTCGTACAAAGGACACTTTTTCTTAAATGTGGGCACAGCCAGGGCTGTGCATATACTATCATTCTGATTATTTTTGAAAGCAATACATGCTGAAAGTCAGAGGAATGCTGAATAAGATATACCGTGGTTGAAAGCAGAAATTCACTGACCCCTCTTCTCAAACTAGAATTATGCAAAATAGCAAATGCAAAATGGCTCAAGTTGTATAATTTAGTTTTTTGGCACATAACTTAGATTGCATCTGCAATTTCTCAATTTCCCTACTCCAGAGTGGAGTACACATAGCCCTGGGCTTAATGTTTTTTAGTTGTGAACTTTCTCCTATAATATAATCAATATTTGCCTGGTTTGTATCTGACTGGAACAAGTTTTCTGGTCACCTATATTTGTCCTCAAATAATTCTGTGTATTGCATCCAGGCAAACACACATTTTTATAGTGTTGTTAATGCTTAAATAAACTCCTTTTGGATGAAACAAATTGTATAGCACTAGAACATATGGATTGCATGTATATTCTGAATAAAAATTCTGCAGTCCTGACATCTCATCCAGCTACTTCCCTCTCTTCCCATGGTTTCCCAATTAATATTTGTGTTAGCAAATAGCTTTTGAACTGCAGCAAAAAATATTCAAGGATTAACTTTATGGGATATGCAGTAGACTGTAACATAAATGTAATAGGATCACCATCTTTAGCTTTGCTGTGCTTTGCCTTCAAATTATAGCCAAGCTATGGTAATTATGCACAACTAAAAAGTCTTACTTTGCTTTTTGATGTGGCTTGTAGTACTGAACAAGTTTCCACATCACTGGTCTGTACCAAGAAACACTTGCAATTAAGTAACCAGGGAAATTAAGACCAGAAGGAACATCCACAATGAATAATTACAGGTTCAAATAATAAAAAGGTACAAGCAATTAGAAACACATTTCTCATATGCAGCTCTCAATCCGTGGCTCAGGAAAGAGGGCTGCTTCAGCCCTTTGTTTCAGTAAGAGTTTTTAAAAAGCAACAAAGAGCTCAAAAATACATGCCTCCCCAAGTTGCAAAAACTATGTACTTGGATTTAAGTCCCGCTTAATTTACTATGAAGTAAACGTGAATAGGTTCAGACAACTAGAATGATAAGACTCCTGTGGAAGATGTGCATTCTGCCAGACACTCTGGGCCAATTGACATATTGGTTCTCATTGTGGGCCTCAGGTTCACAAGTGGTGAAGTTGCTGGCTTGGCACCCTGTTCCTCCTTTTTTGCTTGCTGTCTGAGCCATAGGAAACAACTTTCCTCCACCTCTCTTCTCCTCCAACTTTATACTATTACATTAGTGTCTCACATTGAATAGAAATGACCTGTAGAAAGAACTTTATGAACTGAAAGCAGAAACGCTGTATATACTTTTGTAACCCAAGAAAATATTTAATAAAAAGAAGTTTTTTTTAAAAAAAGGAAATACTTCTTGGCCACTAAATATTGACAGGTCAAACAGGCTGCTGCTTCTTGCCCCCAACTAAAATATTCAGGCCCAGCTCACTCTCTCTTCCCCTTCTTACTGCTCAGTTGCTTTGGTTAGTCTGTTACAGGAGCAATGGGATTGGTGGCACTGGTCAAATGCCAAGGGTGGCTCTTCCCCCCTGAAACTGGGTAAAGCTATTTGGTGAGCATCCCAGTCTGAATTCAGACTTTCAGAGCAGTCCTCTGATAGGTGTATTTTTCATCTCAAATGATGTAATCCATTTTTCTACTTCATGAAGCAGGTATCAGAACACAAATTGAAAGATCAGTTGACATCAGAAACAGAGCTGAAATGGTTGTCTAGATACATATCTGTTTAGGAACTCACTGCTAAAATATCACAATAAAAATCTGTGGAGGTGCCCCTGGAAGAACTATACACTCCATTAAATAAAGCAATTCTGCTTGTGCAGAACTTATTTTTGCTAAATACTGACAGAAACAGTTTTAAGCTAATGGATGGAAATTTAAATTTAAATACCTGAGTAGCTGTGACCCTGGTAGAAGGATTAAATGTAAATAAGCCTTGCAGCAGTTCTAGCAAATCATCACCAGCAGCACTGAAGATGTGATGAAGTGGCATTCCAGGGAAACTTTTAAAAGTCACATAATCTGGAAGATTGGTCATACCCTATTGAGGCGGGGGGGGGGGGGAGGAGAAAGAAATATAGCACAGAGAAGTCAGCACCCACATAATGAATAGTTGAAAGTCATTAAAGGTCCTCTGACCTGTAAACACACATTAAGTATAAAGCTAGTCAAACAGGCAAGCAAGTCAAAACAATCCAGTTTCCATCAATTCTCCCTGCCAGCTTTTGTTACAAGGTTGTTAACTCAAAAACTTACAGGCCACTGCTCCTCTGTTGGAGTACCCAAGGTTTCGAATATCTTTGTGAGTTGATCCAGGTCAGAGTCTCCTGGCAAAAATGGAACCTATAGAAAGATGAATACAGTGGCTTTCAAGATTGGTTTGTTCTGAACCTACAAAAAAGAAATTCAGCCCTAAAATCTTTGAACTTTTCTGGTAAGCAAATGGCATTGGCTCAGTTTAAAGCAAACATGAGGGTTCCCAGAACAAATATTGCATTTCCAGCACTCCTCCTACATGTAAAAGTGCCAGAAGATAAACCATTTGCACAAGAGCAGAATAAAATTTCATTTGACAGCTTTACTGAGAGCTTACCCTTAGAAGCAATTCAGCCAATATGCAGCCCACTGCCCACATATCCACGCCTACACCATACATTCTAGCACCAAACAGTAGCTCAGGAGCTCGATACCACCTGAAAAACAAATTAAGACATGCTGCATTTCCCTCCTCCATTTATGAGCTGTGCACAGTACCTTCAGTACAAACACTATCCTATTTTGTGCCTAAAGATTTACATCTTATCTTGTTCTTTCTGTAAGAAAATGGTGCAAATCTAATCTTTTTTTTCTCCAAAAAGGTGACAAAATAGCTGTTTAAGTTAGTACTGCACAATTTACTGGCATTCAAAAGTGGATGCAATTAATATTTGAAGAGGGTGTACATGGCCCTCCCCATTTTATCCTCACAACAAACCTGTAAAATAGTTTAGGTAGGATTACCTAACCTATCTTACTGGCCTAAACATGGGTAGGCAAACTAAGGCCTGGGGGCCGGATCCGGCCCAATCACATTCTAAATCTGGCCTGCGGACGGTCCAGGAATCAGCGGTTTTTTTTACATGAGTAGAATGTGTAGAAATGCATCTCTGGGTTATTTGTGGTGCATAGGAATTTTATTTTGTTTTTTTCAAAATATAGTCTGGCTCCCCACAAGGTCCGAGGGACAGTGGACCGGCCCCCTGCTGAAAAAGTTTGCTGACCCCTGGCCTAGAATAACTGAGCTTCATGACACAGAGTGTGGTTTTTGAACCAGGGTCTTCGTCCTCATATGATACTCTAAACTCTGCAACACACTGGCAGTCTTATTCAAGTTCCTATCTTCATGTAAGAGCTGTTCAACAGTGGAATTTGCTGCCAAGGAGTGTGGTGGAGTCTCCTTCTTTGGAGGTCTTTAAGCAGAGGCTTGACAACCATATGTCAGGAGTGCTCTGATGGTGTTTCCTGCTTGGCAGGGGGTTGGACTTGATGGCCCTTGTGGTCTATTCCAACTCTATGATTCTATGATAGTGATTGGGCAAGCAGATGAAATTGTCATACCAATAGGCCAGATGTGTTCCCTGAGGGATCTCTCTCTTACCTTGTTACTACTTGGTGTGTGTAAACTCTGTTAGGACTTCCAAAAGATTTTGCCAAACCAAAGTCAGCCAGTTTCAAAACTCCATTTTCATCTAGCAACAGGTTATTTGGTTTAAGATCCTTAAAGGAGAAACACATGAATATGCCATCGCTGAGAATACTTAAATATTTTGCTTTGTGATCAAAGGTTCACCTTAACCAGAAATATGCTTCTGAAAGCAGTGACAATAGGATTGCATAGAACTGAGGCACTAGATAGAAACTACAATGGCTGATCAGACTATGGTAAATTAGACCGTGCCATTTATATCCATTTGTGCCTCTGAGAATCAGAAGGCTTTGGAAGTTGGATTTATTTTTTAAAGAATGTTGCACACAAATTGCCGATACCTATTAAAAGCTAAAATATCCCAACTACGTATTCTGTCTTTTTTTATATACCAGTTTGAAACCTCAGATTTTGGGGCATTTAAAAAATAATAATCAAAAGGGACCAAGAAACATTTTTGTTGTTAAGACTGAGATAATTTACATGGAGAATCACGTTTCCATTTCAAACACCTTAATGGGAGCCATTTCTCATTGTCTTAAAGGCTGTTCCTTTTGTTCCTAGAGTTCCTTACCCTATGAAGGATCCAGTGTTCATGTAAATATTCTAAACCTTGAAGTGTCATCAGCATGTACGCTTTGATGTGAGAAGGTGTCAACACAAGACTAGTATCCTTTATTATAACCTGTAAAATATATATTGCATTTTACAAACTGCAGAAGTTTAATGCTTAAAAAAAACCCAGAAAAATTATACAGATGTATCTGTGGGGGTACACAATGTCCCCAATAACAAAACATCAACTAGCAAGCCTTAGATAAATCACTCTCTCTGACCCAGAAATGCTATAGAATTGATTATCATAATGTGATTGGTAATGCCCTTTCAGTATTTTCACTATCTACATTGTTAGACCTATATAAAGTATTGATTATAGCAACTTCCTGTTCTGAACTCTGACCAAACTGTCCAAATTCTCTGTGAACTTTGTATCTAATATTCTTATGTTTTCTCACTAGTAATGAGAATTCCTTTAAGTGGGTGGCATCCTAAGCAATTACAATTATTTCCCTTCAAATGAAGTCTGTATTACTGTATTACTGTAATTACTGTATTACTGTATTAGCTGCTGAAAATGTGTGTATGCCTGCTTTCTCTAGCAGATACACAAAACCTACCATATGAGTTATTTATGCATAAAACCTGTTATTCTGCTTATGTTAAAAAGTATTGATACAGCGCCACCTATCTGCACAACTCTTTGGAAAGTATGAGAGATGATCCCAACCCCAAGGGGTTTACAGTCTAAAAATAGATGCAAAGAAGAGGCATACTGTTCTGCCTTCTCTGTTGTTCTCTTCTACCACCCCCTTCCCCCATGTCTCTTCTCCAACTCTTATAACTTTCCCCCAGGACTTTTGGTTTCAATATATAAACAAAGCAAAAGCTTAATCATCGGCCACAAAATTAAGTCAGTAGCCAGTTAATGGCAATCTTACCTCTAGGTCAGTTTCCATAAAATCAAATACTAGACTAATGTTAGATTTGTGTCCAAATGCATCAAGAAGCTGGAAGAGAAATACACTCAAATTATTGGTGTGATAGCATGTCCTTAATCCAATGTGTGTGCGCACACTGGTCAAGGTATCCTCTCTAATGTGCCCTGGCAGGTTTACAGCACTCCAGGCAATGCAGAGTGACTGAGTCTCACCACCCTTTTAATTTCCTTAACTAGGCCCGCCAGGCTGTTTGGGGGCAAACCACACCCATTTTTCCCAGGCCTGAAGTCCTATGATACCATGCTCAGAAAAGTTCAAGCCATGTCTTGAAACTTCAACCCAATCCTGAAAAGGAAGAAAAATCAGAAGTGTACAGTGGTGCCTCGCAAGACGAAATTAATTCGTTCCGCGAGTTTTGTCGGCTTGCGATTTTTTTCGTCTTGCGAAGCACGGTGTCGGGAAAGTTTTGGAAAAGCTTCAAAAATCACCAAAGTCTTTAAAAACCTCAAAAAAGGCTACCACACCGCGTTCTATGAGTTGCTCCTCGAAGTCAAGTCGCAACTGTATTAACGGTGTTAAGAAAAAGGAAACAAACTTGCAAGACGTTTCCATCTTGCGAAGCAAGCCCATAGGGAAAATCGTCTTGCGAAGCAGCTCAAAAAACAAAAAACCCTTTCGTCTAGCGAGTTTTTTGTCTTGCGAGGCATTCGTCTTGCGAGGTACCACTGTACTCCTCATTCTTCCCTTGCAGCCAGTTTTCAGTACTTCTTCAATCTGACACATTTTTGTGTTGCCTTGCATAGTAACAGAAACTCCTAATGCCTGGAAAAAGGATAGTTTATGAGTCTTCACTTTTAGGCATGGCCAATCAGAGGGAAGTTCAAAGGGCATGGGGAATTTGACCTGGGTCTCAGGTATAAAGAGGGCCTCAAATTTAAACACTTATTTTCCAAGGCCCTTTAAACTCTCATCTATGTATCTATCATATCTGGATGTTGCTGTTTGTTATACTGATTTTATTCTCTGCTTCACATTTATTAGTTATTGCTTTGTTTCACTGTTGTTATAAACCAACCAGAGGACTTTGTTATTGGATAGTATTTATATATTTTTAATACAGAAATATTCCATTCAAACAGCACTTTGTACTTACCCCTATAATATTTGGATGGCTAAGCTCCTGCAGTAGTTTTATTTCTCTAAGGGCTGTTCTGTTTATACCTGAATTGAAATAAGAATCATGACAATAACAATAGAACTGTACACCCTCAACAGTGTATGAATTTGGTGGTACTAGTGGCTCAAAGTAATCCTGGGTGATAGTGAGCAGGGATTGGTACTTTTGCCACAATTATTTATGCCACATACCTGCTAGTTTTATGCCTATGAGGTTAGAGATTTAAATCCTGAAGTCACCTAGGCTCAGGTGAGCAGGTCTCTGTACCCTGGGAATAATGTTCATGAAGACTAAGCATAACATTTTGTGGACAAGAGACTGCTACTATTTTATTTCAAATTGGTGAATATTTCTGATAAGATTCAAGCTCCAGAACACAGCTTCAAATATTCTAGGCAATGAAAGTATTTCAGATCAATGTAATTCCCATTCCCTCATGTTCTGAATGAAGAAGATGCTCAGTTTGTTGCAGTTAAAACAAGATCGAGGTACTTTTCAGATGTCATAAAACTTTCCCTCAAATGTCAGTGTTTCTATACTAGGGAGGAAGCAATGGCATGGGTAAAGGAGAGGCTAATTCACATCTTTCTTGCTTCAACAATAGATAAGCAAGAACTTACATTGGATCAGGTCCAAGGTATTTTAGTCACTGTTCTTCACTATATCGCCCAGCATCACCCAAACGACTTAGTATGCTCTAACAGTTTAGTATGTCTAAACAGATTGTTTTCCAACATGTGGGTTGGGGTATGCCTTGGTCCCTTGATTTCCTTGGATATGCAGGTGGTAGGAATGAAGAGAACTGCCTTGCTAGAAGCAGTTGATTTGCCAGATGCAACTCTTCCTGAAAAGATGGAACTAAGCTTCTGTTATCAATGCCCTACTTACTACTAGGCAGGACTACTTCAATGTTCTCTACATGGGGCTGCCTTTAAACAATGTCTAGACACTTGGACTAGTGTAGAATGCTGCTGCTGGACTACTGTCTGCCATTTGAAGATTGTAGTCATGTTCCAATCTTATTTCATTTCAACATTTACTTACAGGCTCCTACTTACAGTGGCAGTCACCACTGAAGTTCTAAACAGCTTGGTACCAGATTATTTTAGGACCCACCTGCTCACATGTGAAACTGTCCAGCCTCTGAGATAACTCCTGGAAGCCACACTTTCTGCTCCATCCATGCATGAAATCAGGTGGATGTGAATAAGAGAAAGGGGCTTTTCAGCAGTAGTGCTGTGATTGTGGAACTATCTCTTGGCATTGCCATTCTCTTCTTGTTTATCAAATGACTGTAGGCACTTAAAAAAATAGGCTAGCTTTTAAACAGTAACATGTTTCCAAGATGCCCTACATGAAATCTTAGCATTGGTATCTAAAAGTTTTTACAAATGATATTTTATATTGAGGTTACTCTGTTCTTGTAATGATGTAATGTTTTACTATACTGGGCTCTCTTGGGAGGAAGGATAAACTATAAATTAAACAAATAACTAAATATTTTAATTGTAAAGTACTTTAGTTGTTATTTTAATAAAAGGACAGTATATAAATAATAAATTAAACTGAATATAAGCTTGCTTAACTGATGGAATGCACAATTCACATAAAGAAGTACGTTCTACTTGAAATTAGTGATACGGAACAGGAAAATTTCCAGGGCTTTAATTTTACGTTGAAAAAGTTCCACTTCATAAGTTCATTAGAAACAATGAACAGATGCCAATTACAAATGTAGTATTAGGCAAGCTTGGCAGTTTTTCCTTTTCCCCCCTTTAGATCTGTTGACTAACTACAGGTAAAATAAGCATGTTAAATTGGATCACTCACTAGGGTATCAGAATTTTTTTCAATTCAAAATTTTCTAGAAAAATCATGTCCCTGCTTAAAATTATGTCCACAGATAAAAATAAAACAAGAACACTAAAGGGAAAAATTGTGAATGTTTTCTATCTAAATCACTAAAGGACCAGTGGAGTATGGATATTATGCCACTGGTCTACTTCAAAACAAAGAATTACATGGATCTCATTTCTTATCTCTTCCACTCAAAATTGAAAAGAACAGCAAGTCATTTACCAGCATGGTAGCAAAATTCTAGCATATGCAAAATAGTTCATTTATATATGTGTATTTCAAAAACTTACCATCTTTAGCTTCTGATCTATGCCCAAGTTTGATCTAAAATAAGAAAATGGTTTAATTAAGACAATATTTCTCCTTACTAAAGGCACGTCAAAGGCTACGGCCTGTTGTTCTATAAGTATCTAAACTGACAGACAGCTCAGTCTATGTATTTTTACTTGGAAGTAATTTCTGAGAGATTTATTTAAGTGTGCTTAGACTGCAGCTTTTACTTGCTCTAGGTTACTAAAGCTCTGCACAATTACATAAAACATGGTCAGACAAAATGCATGGTCAGAACCCAGAAGCTGAAGCTGTTTCTCTTTACTTCTCCAGTGGCAGTAGGCAGGCCTGGAGTGGTGAAGAGAAGCAGTGGCGACAAAAGCTCACAATAATTTTGTGAGATTTCACTGGAAGCTGCTGCTGCACCTTCTTGTTTCTCCAGTAGCAGCCGGGGTAAGCGAAGCACCTGCAGGGACATTATTGCTTAGGATTCCACTGCCTGCGTTGACTGCCTCAGTCAGCCTCATGGGCAGACCAGCCCTGTTTAATGCAATTGAATATATCAATGAACAATTTAATAAATAAATAAAAATATCGTCAATGTGGCTAGGATTCCAAGCTATGGTCAACACAAATCATGGTTTGGGTATGCTGTCAGGTTAATAAAGGTAACTCACCTTTTTAATAGCAACAATTTGATTTGTATTCTTGTCTCTTGCTTTATAAACTGTAGCAAACTAAAGAGAAAAAGAGCACATCTTAAAAATCAGTTTTCTAATTATATAGTGGCAGCCTTGCTTTTTGGTTAGAAAGTGTTTTGTCTTCTTTTCTATAAAATATCTTGAGGCATGCTATAATAAATACAAATGATCACAATAAAAACAGTAAAATTGAATGTTGAACACCTTTAACTCATTAAATGCTATGCATTCCTTTTAATGTCACTCTCAGCTGGTCAGTACTAGCAACTAAGGGAAAGAGATACAGCATAATTACAGAATCCTAGAATTCTAGAATTGGAAGGACCACTAGGGTCATCTGGTCCAACCCCCAGCAAAGCTGTTTCAAACATCAGTACAAACCTCAAAGTACATAAATGTGAGAACGCCGCATGTAAGAATGTAACATATGACAATCTACCCACATAATGAACATTATCCTATACAGGAAGGCTTTCTACGAAGCAGGAAAGTATTACATTGTTATATCCCTATTAAGAAGGAAGTTCAGTGGCTGCACTACAGGGTTTGATTTCCCAATTTTATTTCAAATATAATTTTGTATATAGAGGAGCAGGCAGGACCTAGACAGCCAGCTCCAGCAGCCTGTAACATCAGCACCCAAAAAAAATCAGACACTACTTTTGAGTCTCTCTCCCCATCATTACCTTCTCGCTCCAGCTAGTTGCAAAATGCAGACCTCCTACTTCCTTGTTGGTTACTTTGCAACTGCCCACTGTTTCTCTAGTCACCAACCTTCAAACTCCATTTTGGAAAAGTTTACTAACCAGATGGTCAAGCAACAGCTTTAAACAGAGATATCAGTGATACAGAAGACATATGCTATTTTCTGGCTAAAGTATGAAAAGGTACAAACCTTGCCCCTCAAAAAATTATTCTCCATTGTAAGTCAGGTTTGACCATTGGGTAACAACTGGGTGGCTAGGAAAACACTTTTCTCTGTCCAAAGCTGGATGAGAAAAAGGTCTGGCTGTAAGTAGATTTGATCAGAGCAACAAACTGCTTACACAAACATATCTAACAGGTTCTTTTTAACAGATCATTTTGCTGCTGCCCTAAGCCTTCATGACATCAAAGGACAGATCAAAGTCAATTTTGGGAGCAGCCTGTCAACTACCCATTCCTTTATTTTTTGTGAACAGCCAATATTTCTAGGTGCTAAGCCATTGACTCCACATTGAAAATGCTTTGACAGAGGCTTCTCATGGAACAGATATTTTTCTTTCGAATGTGCCATCTCCAGTCAAGCAGGTGCTTTAGGTTTCTGAAATACAAACCTGCGAAACTGGAATGAGCAAACAAACTTCAAGTCTCTGGAAAAAGATGCCTATTGCCCATCTCCAGATGCTTTCTGCAACCTATAACACAAATACACCTATGGCACTACCCCAGCCATGTATACTCAGAAGTAACCTCTCTTAAATTAAATGGGGCTTATTCCCAGGTAAGTGGAGTTAGACTTGCAACTTTATATATTAGGAGGGAGAGGGGGCGGCTTTTCATAGTTTCTCTGCTCTCAAGCTTTTTTGCAGCCCTGGAGAGGGGATTCTCCGTGACTGCCCCCAAACTGTGGAATTTCCTCCCCTCTGCAGAGGTGCTTAATGCAGCTTTCATTTTATGCTAAAACTGCACCTTTTAACCTGGCCTTTGATAGGCGAGACCTTTATTTTCCTATTTAAACTGTATTTTGGGTGCTGCGTTGGACATCGGTTTCACTTTATTTTCAACTGCATCACTGTCCTCTGGGGCCTTTATGGCGAAGGCCAAGTGGGGTTGGGGTGGAAATACTGTTTTATTATTATCAAAGAGCGGAAGTTTGCCTGTCGTCGATCTCAAAAAAGGTGAACTCTGCGCAGGCGACGGCTTAAGTAGGTGGCATTGAAGGCGACGCCGTTATTCGGAGGGAGCAACGAGGGGCGTCCGCAGCTCCCGCCCCGGCTAATCCTGAAAACTCCCTCAGGTGGTGCCTTTCCTTCGCCTCCACCGGAGCCTTACGGAAGCTGCTGCTGCCGGCCGTTAACCCTCCCCTCAGCCGGGTCCGGCTTACCTGCCCCTCGCCCAGGAAGGCCAACTTCTCGTAGCGCTTCGCACGCGCGCGGGCGTCCATCCCGACCAAGCGCGATTTAAAAACCGTCAAGTTTACGACGCCTCCAGGAAACCAGCGCGACTCCGGCTCCTCCCCCTCTCCCGTACACCACCGGCCTTCCCACCGCGTTCTACGCATGCGCCACGCACGCGGGCAAATGACGCTTCCCCCTCCCCCCCGAGGTTTCCGCCGGTCGTGACAACAGCCTCTCAACACAGAGATAGGAAAGTATAGACGAGCAAGCAAAATCCCTTATAGAGCTGTTACGAGGATAGAAAAACCCGTGGTTTTCTTCTCGGGTCGCAACTTCTCCGCCCACCCAGGAGTGCTAGTGAGGGCTGTCCATTAAAAAAACAGAGGGGAGAAATTCGGGGTTTCGACATAACTGATTATTGGGAAGCTGCAAGTTTGCTCGTGCCTCGCCCGCCTAAAGAAAAGTAGCGGCAGAGAAACCCTCTGTTTAATTTCTAGTGACTGTTTTGTACACGTTTAAAAGCACCTTGCCAGTGAACTCCAGTATTGTAAGTGTGCCCCTGGGGTGGGGAGGGGCACTGGGGATGACCAGCTGGTTAATATTGTTAATATTGCTGGGAGGTGGGGGGGTTGCTAGTCAAAAGCACCCTTCAGATTGCAGCAGGGCCAGCGCTACCATTGGGCAGAGAGAAGAGGCAATTGCACCAGCAGTCTGACCTTATCAGTTGGATGTACAACTGTGCATATCATATTGCCAGCCCTTTGACTTGGTGAGCTACTCCAATGCCCTCAGAAGTGGTAGGGTGTGTGCTGTTTTATCTTAACAAGTAATGTGAAAAGTTTTTTGGGGGGGGAACCCTGTTAACTCATCTCATTGCTTCTGTGAGAGCCCTCTGCTGCCCTTACACATCTTGCTAAAGTCTAAATTCCTGTTTCCCAGGAAAAGCTGTCACTGCCATCCCAAAAGAGAGGGGTGGGGAAGCTTGTTGTTAAGCAGTGTTAGTCTTGCAACAAAAACAAGTGTTGTGGCACTTTAAACAGAGGTGGAGAACCTGTGGCCCACAAGGTATTGTTACTCCCATTGGCCATGCTGACCAAGGCTGGTGGGAGCTGAAGTCGAACTCAACACCTGGAGAGGAACAGGTTCTCATGCCTGCTTGAAAAATGAGTATTTAACATGGTATCAGCTTTCATGGACCACAATCCACTGCACTGGATCATATATAAATTGCAATCATAAGTTGGCAAGTATATGCACATAGTTTAGTGAAAACTATAGGGGAGTGAGCAAAGTTCCCAAGTGCCAAGGCAGCCACTACACCTGACTAGAGCAGTAAAGGTAACATAATAAATGCATGTTTGGTTGCACACAAATGAGTATGAGAAAATATAAATGCAGCACAATGTGATACAAATTTATTTACTCAGAAGCAAATTCCAAAAAATAAGTAGGCATGCACATCCTGATTGTTTTGTTGTTGTTTGGACTTTCCAAACAAAAGATGCATTTATTACTGTATTTATTTTCAGGATTTATACCCTGTGGCTTTTTATTTAAGGCCACTTTGTAGATAAACTAAAGAGCAAAATAAGCACTTCAAAATTAACAGTTGCAGCTTTATTTGTAATCAACCCATCACATTTAGAAGATTCCACAATTTGATGTAGGTTGGAGCAGAACCCATTTTGTTCAAACGGAAATGTCATTTCATGATGACCAGGGAATCAAAAGGGAAGCAGATATCCTGCTACAATGTGGATGCGACCAGCATTTTATTTGCAAGGCGTGTTTATTGCCTTTCTTGGCAGATTTCATTCATGCATTTATTTTTAAGAAGTGCTATAGTTCAGTGGTAGCATGTATGCTTTGCATTTTAAAAAAGTTCCAGATTCAGTGTCTGGAAGCTGTATGCAATAGATGGGAAACCTCTTTACAATGAAATTTATACATAAATGGATCTCCCTATACTTCCAACACTTTCCACTTATAGAATTCTCACTTAAGAACACAGCTTTATCAATCCCTGCCCCTCTCCCCCCCCCCACTCAGAAACCATTTCCAGTGATCCTTGCAAACTTGGGGAAAAAGTTCCAGGCCTCAACTCTAACTGATGTTAGTAGCTTGAACTTATAATATATTTCTAAAGCACAAAGATGAGCAGGAGCAAGGTCAGGACGACATGGGTGCAGCAGGAGTGTCAGATTGATTGTATTGCTCCCAGCCATATAACTGGGTAGGCCTGACCTTACTATAGATAAGCAACAGTGACACTGGTGTTGGGAGGGTATCTCTGGCTGCTACTATGTGTACTGATAGATGCCTCATTTCATTAAAATAAATGGGCACCTGAGCCTTCAGAAGATCCTCATTTCACATCACAACTGATGAGGATCACAGGAACAAAATCCATTTTGAGACCAAAGGATAGTATCAATACTAAACTTGATTGATGAGTAGATGGTGCAAACATTTTAATTTCTTATTCTTTTGAGATTTCAAAAGAAAAACCTCTAGTCATTAGTATAACTTAGAGATACATTTTAAAACGAGTTCCTGCATATTTGGACTACATTTCATCTGACAAGCAGGCTGAGTGAGAGTAGAACCTACAAGTGGAATTGTCAAGAATGGAGGCCTGTATTTATTTCCAAAAGAGCAGGCAGATAAGTTTGCAATAATATGTAACTGATGTTTAATAAATACAATTCATCCACTAACACCTGCAAGTTCTGTCTTGATACTGTCTCTTACATCCCCCACCCTTTAAAAAAACTCTCCCAAAGGACATGATTGATGCTGTTGGAGAGAAGAAATAAATATTGCTTTCCTTCATGCCAGACAGGCATTACATGAACAGTGAAAACATCACGAGATTTTGCTGTTCTTCCTTAGTGTATCAACAACAGCTACAAAGGAGATAACAAAACCATTATTGCTAAGTAGAACAAATAAAATAAAATTTTAATTGTAGAGTTGTATAAAGTGGAGTCACAATTACTCAAAACAGAATGGTCTTCTGTTCTAGGACACCGCCACTTTCTGAAGAAGCATTTACCTTCTCATCCCTCGTGAAATACCTTTAACAAAGCTATTTGCTTTTAGACTTTTATAACATTCAGAGAGTGAGGAAGGCCTTTGTTGTGAATATAAGAGTTTGTTGTACACCAGTAGCTAACCGGAGTCTTGTGCGTTATTCTGGACCTCCACGCTGTAAGAAAAAATATTGGTTATTTATCTTTCAACAGAAAGAAAAATCAATTCTTGCACTGATATCCATTTGCATTTGGATAAAGTGACTGATGTCTAACTTTATAGGGATATACAGAATAACAGCAAGCCACACATAATTTTTCTGTTGCCATTTGGACTTTTCTGTAGTGTGCTATATCCCACTTTCTATTTACGGGTCCAGTAAATTAACTGCTTGCCTGTATTTCTGTATTTCTCAAAGCAATATCAATTTGAGTCCCCTGGGCCCAACCCACAGTTGTGCACTAAGTGTCCTCCCCCAAACACTGCGATCTTGAACATGAAACTATTTCATGTAATCCAGGAAGGTCATGTGGGATTTGGAGTAAAGTGTCATCAAAATGTGGATGACACCCATTGCTATTTCTCCTTTTTGTCCAAGCAAAGCAGCTGATGTTCCGAACAGCCATTTTAAGATAGGTGGTGGGAACACTTGGCTTTCCAGACATTGCTGAATTACAACTTCATCGTTCTGGGTGATGTGCTATTCTTGCTGGAATTCATGAGAGTAGTTCAGTGACATCTGGAAGGATAAAGGTTCTCCACACCTGCACAGGTAGTGAACCCGGGTTGAAACCAATGGAAGAAGTAAGGAGCCAAGTTATGGATTGGTTACAGTACCATCAATTACCGTAAATTTCGCTCCATAACACGCAGATTTTTCCTCCTAGAAAGTAAGGGGAAATGTCTGTGCGTGTTATGGAGCGAATGCCTACAGATGGCGGGGGAATATCCTGCAGTCGTGAGCAGCCCGTGGCTCGCTTTGAAACAGCAAAGCGGGTGTAAGCGGCTCCTGTAAGCTAGCAGAGCCGGGGAGGAGGGAGAGAAGCAGAGCGGGAGTTGGCTGCTTTAAAACAACCCCTGCTCTCTGTCCCTGCCTGCAGTTTTTTGCTGTCCGATTTTGGATTAGCCACTGTAGGGGCTGTGTGTGTGTGCTTGAGCTATCGTTCTCCTCCTCCTGCTTCCCCTTCACTCCCCCTGCGACTTTAGAATCCACACTCTGTGTCTCTCTCTGTGTGTAAGGACTCCTTCTCCCCTTGCTTCCCGTTCACTCTCCCTGCGACTTTAGAATTGACACTCTGTGTGCCTGTGTGTGTGAGAGGGCTCCTTCTCCTCTTGCTTCCCGTTCACTCTCCCTGCGACTTTAGAATCCACACTCTGTGTGTCTGTGTGTGTGTAAGGGCTCCTTCTCCTCTTGCTTCCCATTCACTCTCCCTGCGACTTTAGAATCCACACTCTGTGTGTCTGTGTGTGTGTAAGGGCTCCTTCTCCCCTTGCTTCCCGTTCACTCTCCCTGCGACTTTAGAATTGACACTCTGTGTGTCTGTGTGTGTGAGAGGGCTCCTTCTCTTGCTTCCCGTTCACTCTCCCTGCGCCCCTGGGCTCTCTCAGCGCCCCTGCGACTTTAGAATTGACACTCTGTGTGTCTGTGTGTGTGTGAGGGATCGTTCTCCTTCTCTTGCTTCCCATTCACTCCCCCAGCGCCCTGCGACTTTAAGGCCAGTTCTCTCTCTGTGTGTGTGTGTGTTTTGACCTCACTGCGCTTGTTGGGGGAGAGTGTTGGTCGCAATTTTTCTTGATTTGTCTCAGAGTGGTTACTATCGTGGTTTCCTTGCTGGGGAGGAAGGAGAGACGCAGAGCCTGCTTGTTCTAAAGGAGCAAAGCCGGAGAGGAGCCTCTCCTGCATTATTAGCAGCATCCTTCTCCACACACCCCACGCGTGCTGCTTGTCCCTTGAGTGCTTTTCCTTCCCTCCCCACTTAAAACGTGGTTACAAAGCACGGATCCACATGGATCCTCAGGATTTTTTCACTGGGTCGCCCCAAATTCACCATCAGATCACATAGCATGTCCATGGCTACAGCCTGCACAAAAAACACACACACACCCACTGTTTCATGGGGCCGCAGTGGTGCAAAAACGTGGTTACAAAGCATGGACCCACATGGATCCTCAGGATTTTTGCATTGGGCTACCCCAAACTCACCGTCAGATCACATGTCTGTGGCCACAGCATGAACCACAAAAATCATACATCCACTGTTTTGTTTAGAATATTTTTTTCTTGTTTTCCTCCTCTAAAAACTACGTGCGTGTTATGGTCAGGTGCGTGTTATACAGCGAAAAATACGGTATATGATTTGTATAAAACAGACTAAAAAATGGATTTTGGACCAAAGCTCACAGTTTGAAAGATAGTTACTATGGAATTAGGATAAATTATTGTCTAAAATATATAACATTGCTAGAATGGGAAACAAACCATGAGCTAGTTAAAGTTTCTATGACACACTGGGCAATGGATATAGGGCATAAGATAGATTTAAACCTCTGGGAGAAACTCTGGAAGAATGATTTCCAATTCTCTGCATATTATACATTGAAAGAGAATTATATGAAAATGATTCATAGATGGTATTTAACTCTGAGTAGGTTGGCTAAGATGTATAAAGCAGAATCAGATATGTGCTGGAAATGTAAATAAATTGAAGGAACCTTTTTTCATATGTAGTGGATGTGTAACAAGGTTAAGGAATATTGGGAAATGATTTTCAATAAGTTGAAAAGAATGTTTAAAACAACTTTCCCAAAAAGACCTGAAGCATTTTTGTTAGGAATAGTTCGAACTGACATTCCCATATATCAGAGAAATCTATTAATGTATGCAACAATGGCGGCTTGAGTTTTGTTAGCCCAAAGATGGAAAGTGAGGCAGGTCCCTGGTAAGGAAGATTGGCAATATGATAGAATTTTCAGGGTTAACTTATAGATTACAAGAGCAAGAAGAATTTTTATTTAGAGGAGTGGAACTTTTTTGCTGATTCTTTAGAAAATAACTGTGTACAACTGAAAATGGTGGCAGCATCAAGATAAACTCAACAGTGTGATTAATAATTGAATGATGTAAATTGGAGAATTGACTAAAATGGTTATAGTAAAATACGCAGAAATGAGAGATAAGTAAAATGAACCATGGAAGGAGAAGAAGGTATGTCAACTGATATATGGTACTGTATTAAATGTTTATTTTGAAATGTACAATTTGGAAATTTAATAAAAATTATAAATAATAATAAAAAGGTTCTCCACACCTGCAGCAATGTGATGGGTGGGAACTAATAAACTGGAGCTGAGTAAAGATAAGATACCTAGTGGTATCTTATCTGACGTTGAAGATGCTATCTTGTACTGTATGGGGTTGCACTCCTACAGGGATATTAGATGTAGAAGCTAGGGATACTGCATACTGAGATTGTTTTTCATAGTGCTAAGTACCTTTATGCCAGCTACTCACTCTCCTACACAAGTTGTCTATGCTTTAGTAACACAAAGGGCTGATTACCATAACACATTATATATGGAGCTGCCTTTGAAAATTTAAACTGGTTCATAATGCAGCACCTAGGTTGCAGATCATGGCTTGTTATGCAAGCATACACCTGCTCTAAAGATCAACAGTGGCTTTCAGGCTGTTCCTGGGAACAATGCAAACTGCTGTTTTTAACATTTAAAGCCAGGCTGTCAAAGAGCAGGCTTCCACAATGTTTCACCCACTTCCATATCAACTGGCCTGGGAACTGATCGTCATAGCTACAACACAGAAAACATTAAAAACTTGTTTTTATATATGCTGGAAGCTGCCCAGAGTGGCTGGGGCAACCCAGTCAGATGGGCAGGGTACAAATAATAGGTGATAATGATTATGATAATTGTGATACACAGTATATACAGGAACAGAAGACCAGGCCTCTGAATACCAGTTGCTGACAAACAATAATGAAAAAGAGCTATTGGCAACAGGTCCTTCTTGTGGACTATCCATAGGTCTCTAGTCTGATCCAGCAGAGTTTTTGGGTTTTAATCATCAGAAACGTTCTCTGGGTGCCCCAATTGGTGAAGTTTAGAAAAGGTTAGGAGAGAGGGGTCCCCTTCTGCAGTTGCACCCATCTGTGGAACTTCATCCCAAGAAAGCTACACCTGGTGACCTACTTTTTTCTAGGCACTAGGCTGTCTTATTATCCAGGTTTTGACAGTTTGGTTTTTCACCTAATGCTTATTTTATTGTTTGGCTATGAGGCTGTTGGAACTGTTTCAATGCTGGCTATTGTTTTATCAACGCAGCACCAGATTGCAGACATTCCCATTGACTGCCCTAGGCTTTTATTTTGGAACTATTTCATTTAATGGCCACCTTGTGTCCAATTTATAAAAGAAAGGCAACATAATAGATATTTCAGTAAAACAAATGCAAAGAATAAATTATGTAGGAAATATCTGGGACCTTACTTGGATATACTCCATCTCTTCCACCGACATGGGTTTCCTTCTATATTTTTGAGGTAACGTTTTTACTAATTCTGAAGTGTCAGGTGTGCCTTGAATTCTACTGGAGAATGAAATATTTGTAGATGGTGCCGGCCCACCTCCTGCAGAGAGTTGTGAGGCTGAACCATGAGGCAGAGGCACTCTTGACTGTAGAGGCTCCTGTACTAAAGGAACAAGAGACAGGTTCTAAACCATTTACTTTAGCAAAAATATTCAGGAAACCCTAGATCATGAAGCATTCAGAGTAATAGCCATGTTATTCCGTTGCAGAAAACAACAACAAAAATAACTTTTTTTAAGTGAAAAGGGGAATTTTGGAATGGTATGTTCAAAGAAACAGCAAATGTCAGTTAACACCAATTTCCAGTCTAAGCAAAAGAAATATGGTGACTAAGGCTGCGATCCTATGCACTCTTACATGGAAGTAGGTCACATGGAATCCAATAAAACATACTTATAAATACACAAGCCTGGGATGGGATGGTATTATGGCAAACTTTTTCTAAACATTGCTGGATAAAATTAACAAGCATTTGTTAAAAGAGATAAAAGAGATACTTACTTGTAGGTTTGGGAGTACTTCTTCTGTCTGGAAACTTAATTAAGGGTGTATGTGGCTTCACTACCTAGAGTAAAACAGGTAAATGGAAGGCAATGTAAGATAACTAGGACAGCAATTCAATATACGTATTCACATTTTCTTGCAAAGAAAAGGTGTAATACACCAAGCACTGTTGCTAAATGGCATTTTAGTTGGGAGCCCAACCCAACTCCTTTTGGAACAGAACATTGGCAACAGCAACGGCTTCTGAGTAGAATGGGATACAATGCAAACTGGCTTGCTTGGGAGCAAAATACAAAGACATTTGAAGAGTTCAACTTTTACATTTAAATGTTGGAGCAGTTGAAGAACAAAACCTATCATGTAAACTCTAGAAACACTACCCACTTATTCATTCACAATCTAATGCTATCCAAAGACAAATGAAACATAGCTGGTGGACTATTGTACTACACAAGGCAGCAGGTTTATCTGCATGGATAGTTAACAAGCACTAAGTACAAGGTCCAGTGGTCATGCTTGAATTAATTGCACAGATTTCTCCAGAAGTGTTTCTTTATCCATTATTATTTCTATTGCAGAGAAGAAAGGGTTTTTTGTTCTGTTTACTGTTTACCTAAGGGGTGGTCAGGAAGTATATCACTTGCTATCCTCATAGAATGTTGCTCACAAGTGGCAGTCTATAGCTGCTGGGATGTCTGAAATGTAGATTATTAGTTATATTCTGCAAGAGTAAAGTGTGTTGGAATAAGGGAAACCTGCATGACAGAAATATGATAGAAAAACTACCTTTTTCTAATTCCTTTTTAAAGCCATCTAAGAGCCAAACTAGTGGCACTAAAAGAATTATTAGCAATGATGTTTACATGTTTTTTTAAAAAAAAACCACAAGTTGGCATAACTTGTGGCAGCGAATTCCCTAAGTTAATGAATGCTTTGTGCACATTATATATATATATATATATTTATATATATGTTTTCGTAGATTTTCACGGGTACAGGAATGCAGGTTTTGGTGTCCTCGGGTGTCTTCCCGTGTAGAAGTTGGGGTGTCTAGGCGACGTTTCGACGAGGTCTCACTCGTCATCTTCAGGCTGGTGCTTTCGGCTTCTTGTTACTGGAACAGAGCAGGATCTCAGTGTTTGAGTTCCTATAAATACTGTTGAGGGGGTGTGGTGTATAGCCTCCAATGTTCTTGGGAACTTCCTCTCTGCCAAGAACATTGGAGGCTATACACCACACCCCCTCAACAGTATTTATAGGAACTCAAACACTGAGATCCTGCTCTGTTCCAGTAACAAGAAGCCGAAAGCACCAGCCTGAAGATGACGAGTGAGACCTCGTCGAAACGTCGCCTAGACACCCCAACTTCTACACGGGAAGACACCCGAGGACACCAAAACCTGCATATATATATATATATATATATATATATATATATATAGGGCTATCCCAGTTCTACTGTCAAAGACCAATTCCATGGGAAGACCTGAGTCCCAATATTATGAAAGAGGAAGAAAAAGTTATTTTGCACCCCAAACAATGCCTTTCCCTATACACCTTTTGCTTTTCCACCCTAAACTTAAGATGTACAAATATTTAAGTAAGGTGCTCTAGCCACCTTACTGCTAAAGGACAGGAAACTGCCAGTTATTTTGATTATCACCATCCCGCTCGCTGTGCCAAGCACTAAAAACGGACTGAGCCACTTCTCTCCAAGTCACCAAACCAGCCAGAAATCTTTTAAGGCATTGCCTGTGAGCAAAAACGGGGTCAAACTGCTCGTCAACATGTCCAGTCCAACAGTTTATTTTCATTTGTGGTTGGTTTTTTTTTAAGTGCCTCTCCCTCTTTTGCCAGGGGAACTGCAAACGCTGATATTTCACTCAACTCTTATTTATAGTTGACATGCTTGTCATTGACACGAGGGCTGAGACTTCCTAGAGAGACTTAATCCGGACTCAGCTTTGCAGGGCACAGAAGGATCTAATCCCGAGGCGACGAGGAAGATGATGGTGCATCGTAGGACAGCATTGCGACCCTGTTGCTTCGAGTTGGGACCCTCGGGGGCAAAGGCGGAGGACAGGCGAAGCGACCGGGAAAGGCTGCCCAACAAACCTCTGCCTCTTCCTTCCGAAGCCGACAAGGTGGCGAGGCCCGAGCCGAGCCGCTTTCTCGACTTCCTCTCCCGAGGTCGGCAGGCAGCGCATCCCCCCTCGACCGCCTTCCCTCCTGCGCTTTCTCCCCCTGCCCGCCCAAGGGCACCGGCCTCCGCTAGTCCCACGGGGCGAGGGACCCGCTTCCCCGCCGCCGGACGCCGAAGCCTGGCCCAGAGGTGCGAGGCCCGGCCCTGCGCCAAGCCGGAGCGGGGTCTCCTGCGGCAAAAACGCCTTAAAGGACTTACCTGAACGACCCTACTGGCGGCCGCCATCTTGCTGCCCATGGTGACCGCCCGCCCGTCCCAGGCAGGGGAAAGTGCGCGCCGACGGGGGCCGGGGCTTCGAGGAGGAGCGGGCGGCGGCCTAGCGATGCGCCGCCCACGGGAGGGGCCTTGACGGCGACGCTCAGCGCACGGAGCGGATCCGTCGGGCGGCTTTGGTGAAAGAAAAGAGGCTGAGCATCACACGCCGCGTTACTGAACTGCTCAGAGTTCAAGCGGACAAGCCTGGGCGGGCCCCTGACACTCGCTTTGTCTCATCTTGTCCTTAACAGCCGAGGGAAAAAAAAATAAGTAAAAAGTTCCTACTGGGACAGGGAGAGTGTGTTTTGTTTTGCATTTCAATTGTTTTCATTAGTGCAAGGCAAGCTATTCTCTAGAAAGGATTGCTCTTATGCAGGCTTCCTCAAACTCTTCAGATGTTTTGAAACTACAATTCCCATCATCCTTGATCACTGCTCCTGCTAGCTAGGGATCATGGGAGCTATAGGCCAAAAACATCTGGAGGGCCAAGGTTGAGGAAGCCTGGTCTTATGGATGGTGGGGGTGTCCTAAAGCTATCAAGAAACCAATAGCAATGGCCTGCTGGATTTATTTCCGTTGGGAACTTCTTCATATGAGACCTGCTGGATCAGGCCCTTGGCCCACCTCAAAAGCATCCTGGTCCCACAGTGGCCAACTAGGTACTGTTATGAGGAAAAAACCTGCTCCTTTTCCCTTATGGGGTACCCAAGAGCCCATACAGAGTCCTTTTGTAGGTTCCCTATTGGTAGAAAATAACAGAGACCAACCAGAGAATATTGAGAAGCAAAGCAGCTAGTAAGCCTCATCTTTATTAAACTGTTGTAACAGGGTCCTCACTCACCACATGCCGGAGGGAGGAGGAACCCAGAACAAAGGCCCTTATATAGACCTTTTAAACTGCCCACCCTCAAACTCCAGACCACCCCCCAGAAACATCATACATACATCACAGGGGGCGGTCTAAAACAGAATCCTGAGTATGTTGTTTATCTCCTGTCTGGCAGGTTACCTGATTGCATTATCTGGGTTTTGGCCACTCTTTTATTATAACTACTTAATTCCTGAATCCAGGTCAGATGCTCACCCTATCCACACCTTAAATGTGCCCTTAAGGCAGGATTGATGGGCACAGAGACATTTCCTCCCTCCTTGCAGAGAAACATTTGGTCAATTTGGGGGAGTCAAAATGGTTTCAGGACTGCCTTCCTGTACTGTTTCAGACATGTGGTTTATGTATTTGTGTATGTGTTTGTCTTGTACATTTAATTTACATATTTGAGACCTTAAATTCTTATAACAATACCTACGGCAAGTCCGCAAGCAGAACTGCTCTCTCCCATTCTGTACTATAGCTTCCACAGTGAAGGGGGGGGGGGGAGAGAGAGAGAGAGAGCAATAAGCCATTATGGTTGGTAGCCTTCAGTAGGCTTTATCCTCCAAGGTTTGCCTAAATCAGGGGTAGGCAGCCAATTGCCTTCTCAATCCGGCCTGCAGACGGTTCGGGAACCAGTGTTTTTACATGAGCAGAATGTATGCTTTTATTTAAAATGCATCTCTGGGTTATTTGTGGGGCATAGGAATTCGTTCATCCCCCCCCCAAAAAAATATACCGTATTTTTCGCCCTATAGGACGCACTGTCCCATAAGGCGCACCTAGTTTTTTGGGGGGAAATAAAGGGGGGGATTATTTCCCCCCCCAGGCGTGGGGCTGGGGAAGCCCGAGCTTCCCCCGAACCCACCCCCCAAACAGGCAGCTCTCTGCAAGCCATGGGAGCCCAGCGCCGGGCTCCCGCTGCTTGCGGAGAGGTCCGCGAAGGCTGGACGTGCGGAGCTCAGCGCGCACAGGCTTCAGCATGCAGGCAACTCTCCGCAAGCAGCGGGAGCCCAGCGCTGGGCTCCCACTGCTTGCGGAGAGGTGCGCAAAGCCTGGAGAGCGAGAGGGGTCGGTGCGCACCGACCCCTCTCGCTCCCCAGGCTTCAGCGAAAGCCTGCATTCGCCCCATAGGACGCACAAACATTTCCCCTTCATTTTTTTGGGGGGGGGAAAGTGCGTCCTATAGGGCGAAAAATACGGTAGTCTGGCCCACCACATGGTCTGAGGGACAGTGGACCAGCCCACGGCTGGAAAGGGTTGCTGACCCCTGGTCTAAATTCTCCTTTAAACCATCTGGCTTGGTGGCCGTCGCTGCCTCTTGTGGGAGCAAATTCCATGGTTTTAAATATGTGCTGTGTGAAGAAGTACTTCCTTCTGTCTGTTCTGAATCTCCCAGCATTTAGCTCCATAGGATAGCTACAAGTCTAATGTTATGAGGAAGAAGAACTTGCCTTGATCCACTTTCTCCATGGCATTATCACATGCGTTTATATTATGTCACCTCTTGTTGTTGTTTAGTCATTTAGTCGTGTCCGACTCTTCGTGACCCCATGTCCTGGACAACTTAGTATTTTCAGCAAACATGGTCACGCCACTGCTCACTCCTAGCTCTAGATTGTTTATGAACAAGTTAAAAGCACAGGTCCAAAAGCCAATCATTGGGGGACTCCACTTTTTACCTCCCTTCGTAGAACCATTCCTGATATTCAAGAGTTATTTATTTGATTTATATACCACCCTTCATCTGAAGACCACAGAATGGTTCACAACATAAAAATACAAAATGAAGATGCAAAATACACAATAAAAGCAAACCAAACCAATAACCATCCTTCCACAAGAGGGCCACATCTTATTCCCATGAGTGCTAAGCTTGTAAGAGGTTTGAACCCTCCAAACCATATAGGATAACACATAAAGCTATTTTATTTCACTGCAAACGCAGCCAATACTATGACATAACATGTATAAACAATACAAGAATTCTAACCTATGGTCATTCTACAGTAAGATTTCTCTACTCCTGTCCTTCCCTTCATTATGTTCCTCATTATTTTAGATTTTAAGTTCCTTGGAGTCAGTCATCTAACTTTTTAATGAAACACTTAAATGCACAATGTTACATGTATAATGATGGCACTGCAATAATAGCAGCAGCCAACTATTTAAATGCACAACAGTTAACTAAACATGCATAACATACCATTGTAGTGAAGTGGCTTTGGAAATCCATTGAATATAACAATCCATTGAATATAACAAAAATGTTCACAAAAATGATCCCTCAAAATGCTAAGCTGCTTTCCACTGTCACACATAAAAATGATGTGCTAGTTATAGGTGGTAAAGAAAGTCAAAATGTAAGGAAAGGCATTCCTGCCTTCCCAGCAGGAAATATGATTTAAAAGGCAAACCTGTTGCTCTGTCTTCATTCCAAGGTAACAGCCAATAATTTCTCTGGAAACTGAGGAGGTGATGGGAAGAATGTTGCAGTTACAATACTCTCCGTTAATAACTCCTTCCATAAAACTGGAATGGTTCTTCCAAGGTATAGCAAACAAATCTAGTCATTAAGTTAGGCAACATATTTTACAGCAGGAAGTTTTCAAGTCCATCTGTGCATCAATATAATTAAGCGCCACTGCAGTTATGATTATGAAAACACACCTCTTTGTCACAATAGCTTGACAGACTACTGCTTCTCCTCTGAATCAGCAAACCATAGAAAATGTACTGCTCTGCTGCTGCTTCACATTCTAGCCACATTTTTCTCCAGTTGCAGAACAATTTCCTTCAAAGCTGGATCTTCTGCCCAATTGACCTCACTTCCAATAATGAGATTCTGAAACAAAATCAGCTTGTTTAGTTTTTAAAGAAATACTTCAGATACTTCATGCTCCCAGTAGCAAATGGAACTCTCTTCAGGATGTCAATACTAAAAAAGGGGGAAAAATGTGGGCTGATAAAAGAAAGTGGTCACGCATCGTGCAAGTTATACGTTTGGTCATTCTCAATCTATGCACAGAAATGTTAATGTTTAATATATTAAACTGTCAATAGATCACAAAATTCCCCAATAAAAGTAGCTTTCTCATCAGTAAAGTCATTCTTGCTAGTAGGATATAAATTGACTCAATTTATATTTAGTACAGATCAAAATGATATAATCTGTCCTTCTCAGAGGCAGTTTTACCTGGAAGATGTTTTGAATCAATGTCGTCATCTCAATTTCCTTTTGCAGATTTCTACGGGCCTTCTTCAACATTTCACTCACTTCCATATTGTCCAGTTCCTCTTTTCGTTTCATTTTCATATTATGTATATCTGCCAGTTTGCAATCCATAGCTTGCTTTAGTGCTATTGAATTATGAGAAAAATATGAAACTATGAGCTTGATCATTTCCCAAATCCTAGTGCTAGAAGAGGCTTTGTAGTGAGTGATTTATGACACAGTTTTAAAATAAAGAAATACAGTTGTACCTTGGTTGTCGAACACCCTGGAACTCATAAGTTTTGGCTCCCAAACACTGCAAACCTGGAAGTGATTGTTCTGGTTTGTGAATGTTCTTTTGGAACCCGAACGTCCGACAAGGCTTCTGGGGCTTGATTGGCTGCAGGAGCTTCCTGCAGCCAATCAGAAGCCGTGATCTGGTTTTTGAACATTTTGGAAGTCAAACAGACTTCAGGAACGGATTCCATTCAAGTTCCAAGGTATGACTGTATGCCTCCATTCCACACACCATGCTTAAACCGTTAGAACTCTAAACACATGTAGTTTTATCCAATGCTGCTGCTTTGCGAGCAGAACAGACTTCCATCTGACATAATTTCAATTCCCTTTCCTTGTTTCCCCTCCTGCAGCCATCTGTGCACCCTCAAAAGCTGCTCCACAGGGTTGGGGGACCTTCCAGAGCAGATTTATGGGCATGCATAGTATTAATACAACCAATTACAAGCTACAATACACTTAAAGAAGCTACTACAATCCAAGTATTGCATTTCAACACTGCTTGTAAAAAGTAGCAAGTCATCACTGAGTAGTGAACAAAAATCAAAGGTAAGTGATCTTATATAGTAATTGCAAACTTTGAGTGGAGAGTGCCTGGCTGTTTAGAAGCAAACTGGACCGAAGAAAAATCAAGGTACTGGTTTCTACATACTAAGGGGATACCCCGTGTATGCAGAAGTATATATTAAGTGTGCAAATAAAAACAAGCTCTGCTGATTCTACAAAAACTTAGTTTTGGAAGAAAGTGTGTACACATTAAGGCAGATCTGTGTGAGTGGGGGCAGCCAGGCCCACCTGCCCTGGGCATTGGAGGGCTAAGCTAGCCAAGGGGCCCTCCAGATATGCTGTCATGCCAAGAACGCCCTGTGACAGACCGGGGACTTATTGGGTGAAACCCCATGCCTGTCCATATGCACTGCAAGGCTTTGATAGTAAAATCTGGACCTGCGTTACTGCATACTAGGGTGTAGTGTCAGGTCAGATTAGGCGTTGGCCTGTCTCACAGACAAGCCTCCCGCCCTGGGCTTCTGACAAGCTCTGCATGGACCTGTATTAAGGCCGTAATATGGCTTAAGGTTCTTTTCTAAATGGGATCATGAAAATACAGTCCTACCTTGGGTTGAAGTCGCTTCAAGTTAAGCCTTTTCGGGTTGTGCTCCGTGGTGACCCAGAAGTAACGGAGCGTGTTACTTCCAGGTTTTGCCGCTCGCGCATATGCTCAAAATGACGCCACGCGCATGGACGGAAGCGGCAAACCGTGACCCCCCCCATAGACGGGCAGTCGTGGGTTGCGTTCGCTTCAGGATGTGAACGGGGCTCCGGAACGGATCCCGTTTGCATCCTGAGGTACCACTGTATGAGTAAAGCAAGCGGCAGTAATCATCCAGTAAAACCAGAATTGGAGTAGTTAACAGAAAACTTTGTGGGGATGCTTACCTATCTCTGTTATTGTTCTTGAATGCCCACAGAAAGAAACCTTAGCACCTGTGTAATTGCACACAATGGTACTGTGATGTGGCCTTTATACTGTTCTTGGGGCACCTTCCTTACCACACCCCTTTTGCACTAACCACCAGACTGACTATCCATGAGAATTTATAATGTGCACATCCATCATTGGGTGGAATGATAATGTTTCCAACACACTCTCATTTTCATGGCACACCACCTTTATAAGATACAAAAGGGAAACCGATATTTCACTACGGTTAAAAAACTTACATTGTCTTCTCTGCTTAACTTCATTCAATTTTTCTTCCAGTTCACGAGACTGCTATATTAAAAAAAGCAGTTCATTAATATATTTTGTAAAAAATATCTAATCCGGTTGTCAGAGTAATACTTGTTGGCATCCTTCTACCTCGAGAGACAATGGAGTGCTCTTCCAGAGGTGAAGTCAAAACACTGAGATAGCAGCACCAAAGTGACCTCCCTGGGGCATAAGCCTGAGCAGTGTGTATGGAAGTCCTGGGATGCCCAGATGACAAGACCGCCCCCTCTTGGCCTCGCTGCTGTGGTCCAAAGGAAAGCAGATAAATATATTTGGCACCAACTTGGCTACAGGAGTTGCCAGAAGGTGGTGTACAAGATGCCATCCAACCACCTTAAGGACTCCATTCCAGATTTGTGTAGGGTTTACTCCTTAGGATTTTCTTCTCCTGAAGATGTCCCACAAGGCAGTAGAGGTTTGGGATCAGTTTTCCTCCTCCTACATGGACTACCTTCCCAGATAAGCCCCATCTGCCCCTCACTTCTCTATACAGCCTGTGCAGAAACCAACTTCTTGAACATTGGACCCACTATTGGTCTCATCCACTCAATCCACTGGAACCAGTCTTCACATATTCGGAAGTCCCTTATTCACTGAGGGTTTAAGACCCCTTGGCTCCCCTCACCTGCTTTAGCTGGCCAGTCAAAGCCATTCCCGGGGTGTGGCTACTGTTGCATGCTGACAACTTCTAGAAGCCACAGGTGCAGGGTGGGGACCAAAGGTGAACAAGCTACCCCGAAAAGAGCACAATGTGTCCCCCCCACTACCCCCCCGGCACCCCAAAGTAATACTGTAACTGTGAATATTAACTTTAGTACTTTTTTTTAGGAGAAAGGGTAGTATGTAAACACAGTAACTTTTTAAAGTACAGCTACACTTGTATCTACCATGGGTTGCAAATATATCTTTTCTAGACAATGAGCCTTAACGTTTTAACAGAAAGGATACTTGCCTGCTTTAATTTAATTACTGCAGTACTAAGCATCATAATGTGTTTTATAGTCTCCCCGATCAACCTAATGAAAGCATAAACAGAAATCAGCATGACCCTGAGGCCCATACAATCAAATCAAACTTATATGTAAATACACTTAAACAGAAGCCTGATGCCCTTTTCTTCTAAGAAAAGCATATATAAGCACATATAAAGTTTTCTTATGTTAAGGAAGACCACTGGTCCACCTAGCGCAGTACTGTTTACACTGACTGGCAGTGGCTCTTCAGGGTTTCAGATAGGGGACATTCCAGCAAAGCATGCAAAGCTCTACCACCAAACTACAGCCCTTTCTCTTTGGGATGGGGTGATTTGGAGTGAATATGCAGTGTTGGATTAAGCTGCTTAATTCTTTCCCTGGCTGTGGTTTTCTGCTGCAAATCCCTCCTTCCCACATTGTTCTTTTCCCTACAGAGTTTCAAATGTGTTTCCCACAGGGGGAGTTGCAGCAGAAAGCAGTGGCCAAAGATTAAGCAGCCCCCATATTGCTATTTCTCTCCAAATCATCCCATCCCAAAGTGGCTGGTATTTTTGTTGTGCATTTTGTGCGTAGCATTTCATTTGGTCCTTAGTTTACACCAGGGCTGCGGAACTCTTGAGTTATCCAGGTGTTGGCCAATTCCCATCAAGCGGGATGGTCGATAGTCAGGGATTATGGAAAATATATTTTGGACTCTTGGTTAAGACTTTATTGACACATTTCCCCTGCAATATGACCCAGCCTTGTATGTTTTACTGAACATAACATACAGTTTTATTCTGTATTTTATGTTATATTATATCATATTGATATAATATGATATTATATTTTGCTTTGGTGCCTAGATATCTTTATGTTGAGTGGTGTAGAAACTGATTGACAAGTAAACAAACAAACAAACAAACAAACAAACAAACAAACAAACGTAGTCTAACATCATCTGGAGGGCTACAGATTCCCCACCCTTGGTTTAAATCTATTCACAGACTCAATTTAAGTGAAGGCAGTTTGACTTCAATCCACCTTTCTCTAACAAAAAAAGTTGAAAACTGCCTGCACCGGATCAGGTCTAAAAGCCAGGTGATGGGGGTATTTCTAATGGCCAAATATCCATATATCAAGAGATCTGTTTTTGGCTTTTACTAGTACTTCTATGTGTGCATTATGCCAGCTAAGCATGCCAGCTAAGCATGATGCCAGCTAAGCATTATGCCAGCTAAGCATTATGCCAGCTAAGCAACACACCTGGGCATCAAGATATTCATCTGCAGCAAGTTGCAAGCAGTGAAAAACAACAATAAAAAAGCAGGATTTAGAGAAAAAGTCTCAAAAGTACATGTTATGGCACCAGCACCTGTGCGTTGTAATGCAGATTTGGTCAAGTTCCTATGAAGCAAAGGGGCTGGAGCCATTTAAAAACCAGGGTGGGGACAACAGCATGCTAGACCGCCCACTTTTTTATTGTCCATGTTTCCCCCTCTTCAGCTGTTTTCTTCCTAGGGGAGTTACTGTCACTGTTATGACTTCCCTGTGAGAAACATGTTATGGGGAGGTAAATGACATACCGGTAGGTGCTTACTCTAAGTGGACGCTGCCCAACAAACAAACAAACAACAAAAAACAAAAACAGCAGCTGCCTTCTAAAAAATCAGCAACAGCACAATTCTAAGGAACAGATTTGCTGAGATCACAGCTAATTTTAACCTGATTCTAGTTTTAAACTGTATCCCAGTTGTAGTTAAATGGAAGCACAGTATGAGAATTTTACAAAGGACTAAAATAGGGCATTGCAACAGCTGATTTAAACCAACTATAAGGGACTAGAAATTTCATCTAGGAATATCAGTTGTCTAACCAGAGTGCCTTTCTGAAATATTCTATTATCCACAGAAGCAGTATTTGCATATCAATTCCACAGTCATTAAACAAGCTACAAATATTCCTGTCAGTTAAATAATTCAGTTTAAAGAACTCCTTGGACTTTCAAATCCCCTTACTTTGAGTTGTCATCATTGTTCCTCAGCTTGGCTCTAAGTGCATCATTTACTTGCAACCTATACAGTTAAAAAGAAGAAGAAAAGTAAGATGTGTTCTGAGGAAATGCATGACAGTATGTCTAGGACATTCATAGAAGAAATAAGAACTGGATTCTAAGATTTTTTTCTGCTTTCATATACACATTTCCATGAACAAACGATGCACCATAACTTACTGGCTAAACATTACAGATCACATCAGAGTATTTCAAAGATCAAGATGTATATAAAACTTTGTATAGTAAGGAAGCTTGTGTTTGTATTTCTGAGGAAATTCCAATAATATATTTTATTTCAGTTAGTGGTTAAGCTGTTTCATGTGCTAAATGTCATAGGTTTTATTTATATATTCACTAAACCATTAAACCATTAAAAAAAAAAAGAAACACATATATGAAGTTCAGTAGAAGGCAGCTGCAGAATAAAAAGTTGTCTAATGCTCAATTTTGTAAAGCATAAAAATTACTATTAAGTAATTTCACATATGTAACTTTGCTGCACAGTCAAGCACTGAGTTGGATTCACAAGCCCATTAATTTCAGTGGATCTTAATTCCACATAACATTTGCTGGATTGTGGCTTGGATTTTTTAACTTCCACGTGGTAAGAATCTGACCAAACAAGCCATCCCTGTGGTAACAGACACAGTATATTTTCAATTCCTGCAGTCTACATTAGTTCTTCATTCATGTGCTATGTTATACTTCAACTTTTCAGAAAGATTGAATCTTTACCTTTGTAATGCCAAAGTTTTGTGTCTGTGTGATAGCTTCACTTCTTCCAATTCCCCTTCCAAGTCTTCTATTGTACTAAGAACAAAAGAAAACTCAGGTAAACAGAAACCAAGGATCAAGTGATCTGAAATGTATATTTCTTAGAAGATGATTCTTCTATCAAACTTTTCTAATTGGAGAAGTTTTTAACACATTTTCCTAGTTATTGATGTTTGAAAAGCAATATTGCTCTGCTCAGATATTGGTCCTTACTCTTTCTGCAAGTTGCATTGGGAACTTGGAGATGTAGAACAGCAAGTAGATATGTAATGCTAAAATTATTCATATAATGATATCTGCTCCTCCTCCGCATTTAATGTAACATCTGTGTTGCCAGCATTATTGGGTGGGAAAGCTTTCTGAGACCATGCCGCACAAGCACGTAACTTGTTATTGGATGCAGCATTCAGCATACAGATTTCAACTTTCATTGAGAAATTAATCCAGTTTCTAGACCCCAAGGCTATGAAAAAAGGTTGGTGTGTGGACAATACAGGAGAAGGGATTGAGCAGAATTCCCCAGACAGGCAATGGAGTATTAACACCATGGACAGCTTGTTGCTCTTCTTGATTACAAGGGGCAAACATACAAAATATGCAGACAACCATTTACACAATTTAAACTGGCCACAGAACTTCCAGTTTATTTTTTTTTAACATGGTCTGAGCACAATGAACAAAACCACAACAAGCCGCTTATCCCATTTACCTTGCTTTCACACACATTCCCTTGGAGATACATCCCACTAAAATAAGTAGTTTACTTTCAACTATGTCTGTTCAAGATAAACAATTTTAAAACTTGACATTTAAACTCAGAAGCATAAAGATATTTTAGACACTTTTAAACACAAGCCTGATAGTTTATAAATACAACATTTTCAGTTATTTTGTTAAATCACAGATAATTCTGCAAATAGAAATGAACTAGAATATGCAACATGTAAAGAGATACAAGTTAATGCTTCATACCCATGTCCTCCTTACAAACATAACATTGCCGTTAGCCCTTTGCCTTTAGCACAAAAGTAAGTTTTTGCTTGTTTGAACTGTACGTGGCGGGGGGGGGGGGACCATGGAAACATCATAGTAGCATATTCATTAATAAGTTATGATGACATACCACAGAATGGCCTTTTCATCAATAACTTGATCCGTAATGATTTCTTCATCTGTCACATAAAAGATGAATATGTTAGAAGTAACTGAAAAACACTTCCCCCCCCCCCAAGAGGAACATGCCAATAGTATAGTAAGTTTCAAAACACCATTTCATAAGATTATAAAGAGAAATAAAGTCCTCAAGAGACTTCATCCGGGAATTTACTTTCTAAACAAGGGCTTATCAAATAACTTTACATGTTTGTACTGTGTTTTTTATTTAGCAATATATAAACATAAGAAAGTTTTTATTTTTCACAATGGTAGTCACACACTTACTTGCATTAACTGTTGCATTATATTCCAAAAGTTGTTGCTTTATTTGTTCTCTTACTCTACAAAGTAAAAAACAAATTGACAGAAAAAAATCAAGAGAGTGGATCTGGTAGTAGTTTACAGAAAATTTATCTTGTTCACATATGAATTAATAGCATCCACCTTTTATCTGATACTGAAATCAAAGACAGTAGCATTCTGATCAGCATTTTAAAGAGGAGCTGGGTATGTCTTTAGAAAGACCCAATCTTCAGATGAAGGGCAGTATACAAATTTAATAATAATAAAAAATTAACATCCCGAAAGAATCTTGCTTCTACCATTACCACAACCTTGGATTCCAGAAGAAATCAGCCATGACACTCTCTCTGCCATTGCAGCCTGCAGCCTCTCTCCCAACCTCTCATTCACATAACTGAATTGTCAACTATGGCCTTTTACTTTGACCTACGATAACTAATCAGGGAGGGAGGCCCACCCATTTGGCCTCTGGCACAGAGCCATTCCCTTTGTTCTCTTAATGAATCACAATTAGCTGGCCTGGGCTCAAGCATAGTCTACCACTTGAAACTCATAACCTATAATGTGAAGGTGTCTGGGTGCCATTGAGGTTGGTCTGGAAGCTGTGGCTAATGCAAAACACAATGGCTCAACTAGCTGTAATGCCAATACAGCTGGACAAAGCCCAATATAGCCTGGAACCATAATTCCTAAAATATACCGTAATCTTATCCCTTTATGCCCAGCCTATGACTGTACTCTGAAGGAGAGTGTTTGTTACAGATAACATATCCTCAGGAGGCCTGCTCCATGCAGTGTAGAAACTGGGGCTTTAGTGTGGCAGCACCTACTCTTTGGAACTCCCTCCCACTGCATATCAGATGCTGCCTCTATAGCCTTTTGAAGACTTTCCTTTTCCCACGATCCTCTTAAGGGTAGATTTTTGTTTTGCATTGGACCCGAAGTTGTTTTTTATGCATGTTTTCACCGTTAAATAGCTTTTATTTCAGATGCAAGAAATAAAAGCCACAGAATAATAAAGTTGGACAGGATCCTGAGGGTCATCTAGTCCAACCCGCTGCAAGGCAGGAATCCTGCCCACAGCTCAAACCACTAACCTTCTGGTTAACAGCCAGATGCACAGACCCGGGGACTTTAATAAATAACCAAATATGCACAATTAAGGTTTACATGCTTCCAATGCATTTCTTTCTAAATAATGTTATAGAGGTGGCATAGAAATTCAATTCCACCGTGATTTTTAACAGCAAATGCGGCAGTTGGGAGGGTGTGTGTGTTTGTGCGTGGGTGTTTGTAGAGAGGGCAGGGGTGCCAACATGAATATTTTTTGGGGGGAGGCATAATCGATCACACGACGTGGCGCACGTTCACTCTTTGAATGGCAATGCCCATCAACTTGGGGGGGGGCGGCCCCTTCAAATATTTTATGGGGGAGCGAAGGGCGTTGGCTCCTATGTGAGGGAGTGTGAGGGTTTCTCTGTGTGTTGAGACTCCGCCCGACACCAATACCCAGAGAGGGCCTGACCTTAAAAGCGACACCAGGTCCAGCTTCTCCTGTCCCTCCTCGCCCACGAGCCGTCGGGCTTCTTCGGACGTCTCTTCAACGAAGCCCTCGAGAGGAGCCGCCGCCGCCGCCGCCGCCGCGCCCTCCCTTGTTTCCATCCCAAGCCAGGCCCGCTTCCCTCGCGCAACTCCCTCCCTCCCCTCTGTTTCAAAAGGCCCGCCGCCGCAATCTTACGTCACGGTCCCGAGGGAGCGCGGCGATCGATTGCTCCAGCCTGAGATAAGCCGCACTCCCAGCTCCGAACGAAATCCGAAGACGCTCTACCTTCCGGCCTGGTGGGCCACGCCTCCCAGCTGCGATGGGCGTGCCGAAGAAGGCTCCTCTTCAAGGGGGCGGGGCGTCAAGTGGTGGAGCCGCCTTTGGACCCCGCAGAAGGGGGAAGAGAGTTTTTTTCGTGGGCCATCATTTTATTAATTGCTACTACTACTACTACTACAGCGTTAGGTCCTTTCTCGCGCAGACACCCATAATAAAACAAAGAAAAATGGGTAAAGGAGGGCGGTTATAAACCAACTAAAAGAAGGGGCGGGGCTCCTAAACACATTTTCACCTTGCATTTGGCGGAACTGGTGAATTTAGGTTTGCAGTGTTAGGATGAAAAAATAAAAAATTGTCCAGTAGCACCTTATGGACCAACTAAGTTTGTTCTGGGTACAGTGGTACCTCGGGTTACAGACGCTTCAGGTTACAGACTCCGCTAACCCAGAAATAGTACCTTGGGTTAAGAACTTTGCTTCAGGATGAGAACTGAAATCGTGCAGCAGCGGCAGCAGGAGGCCCTATTAGCTAAAGTGGTGCTTCAGGTTAAGAACGGACCTCCGGAACGAATTAAGTACTTAACCCGAGGTACCACTGTGTGAGCTTTCGTGTGCATGCACACTTCAGATACAGTGAAGCAGAAGTCACCAGACCTCTGTATTCTTTGATCACTCCTAGCTGAGTAAGATTGTCTTCCATATACACGGTTTTAACAATGAGTCCTTAAGTGATTGTGGAGGCCAATTCTGGATCCACACGTCCTTCCACAGTGGTTTCCGGGCAGGAGTTGATCATGATATGGATTTGCCAAGCGTTGACCTATACATAAGGGTAGGGTGATCGCTGGAGAATTGATGCTTTTGAATTGTGGTGCTGGAGGAGACTCTTGAGTCCCATGGACTGCAAAAAGATCAAACCTATTCATTCTGAAGGAAACCAGCCCTGAGTGCTCACTGGAAGGACAGATCCTGAAGCTGAGGCTCAAGTACTTTAGCCACCTCATGAGAAACAGCCAGTTACTTAGTAGGATTTAAACAGAAGCAGAATGGGCTTACTAGAGCTCACTATACAATAGCATCTGCCAAGACTGACCTATATCATAGGTGACCATGTTCATTGTAGTCATTACATTTTTGGCTTTAACAACAGCTGCAGCTATCTTGCTTTTAAACAAATTCCTGTGTGCCATACCCTCCCTTTTGCCTGATTGAACTGGAAATATTTCCAGTCCAGCAGTGTAATTGCAGTAGTGCTCTTCCCAAGACCTAGCAAATTTGTGACCATGAATCCTTACTAGCATGCTTGAGTTGCTGTGAACATCAGAATAAAGATTTTTCCTCCCACCACACCCAACTGCAGGAATAGCACACATGTTGCACCTGGCTCAGATAAATTGAAGTCACTCAAAATGATTGCACCAATTCAGATAGGCAGCCATTTCCCATCCTTTTCAGCATGGCTTGGTACTTTTAAAGTGACAGAACCTACTAAAGTTGACTAGCTTCAGGCTAACCTTCCCCAATCGAGTTGTTTTATTAAACTTTCACCAGACTCTGGAAGCTACAGTATGAAACACCCCAAGCAATTAATTATAAATTCAAATAATTATAAATTCAAATAATAAAAACTACGGTATATCTCACCTGTCCTCTCCAGAAAACCCAATTTGTAATGAAGGGGTACAGTTAGGGTTACCCCAGAAAGCCCTAAAAACTGTTTGTGAATTCTTCCCCCCCAGCCAGGCCTCGGCGTACGCATTTTAAAAAACTGCATATTCCTCTAAGACAAAAAGCACGAGCTAAGCAGTCCTCTCTGTAACAAAAACGCTGTAACAAACCCAGAGCTGAGAACAGAAAAGCTTTTCGCTTCCCAGATCCAAATAACCTTGTCCTGGTACATTGACTTGCAACATACTTCCGGGAGCAGAGCCAGAGAACGAAAAGCAACATTTCTATGTAAGAACCTGTGAAGGGGGAGAGGAAAAAAGGGGTTTGAAAAAAGGATAAACCCTGCTTGTAAAATGTTTTCGACGTGGCCTGTCTTTTGTGAACTGAATCACACAGGTGCCTCTGCCCCCCCCCCCCGGATGGCAGAATAAAGCGCTCTTTCTCTGGATTAACCCCCTGGTGTTGTTTGGCTCCTTTTGTCTCTGCTCGGGTGCAACAATTATTCCTACCCATGGATTAAAAAGGCTACAGTAAGGCCTGAGCTGACAGCTATAATTTCTCTATAGCCCTTTTTTTGCATTAGCTAAAACAATGTTAATTTAAAAGTGTGTTGTTTCCTTCAGAATTGCTGCTGCAACAAATACTGAAGTTTAAAAACTACACTAATAGGAGGGAAGGAAGGCCTTACATTCCAGGTATCAGAGACTGATCTACACATCAAGTAGTCATGGCTCATTTTATGTTCCATGTACCTGTGATTACATTTGATTTCCACTTGTGTCCAAACAGCAGCTTGGCCATCCTAACAAGAGTGGCTACAGGACAGCAATAAAATAGACTTTAACAGAACAGGAAGAGTTCTTGACTATTAGAAGTTGCTCTTACAACTTACTTTTTCTGCAGACAAAGAGGCAACCTAAAAGTCTAGCCAAATTGGTTTCCCCAAAGCATACTTTTATAATGTTTTGCCAATCAGCTGCTTTTTAGTAAAGTTTACTCATGTATTCTCCATTGTGCTAAAGAACATACAACCATCTTCATACTGAGAAGCCAAAGATTTATAGCTTATTTAAAATTATAGGCTGCCTTTGTGAATCTCACTAGCTAATCTGCAATTCAGGAATTTCAATTAGACCATGACAAGGAGGTTAAAGTAAAAAAGAAGTTTATTAAAACTTTTATAACCACTATATTTATAATATACACACACTTAAGTAGCAACACACGGTGTCAACTTTGTCCAACAGTTAAATTAGGTTTATTTCGAGAATGGTTTAGCCAGATCCTTTATGACTGCAGAGTTCAATGCTGGAAGGGTGCTGATCTTGGCATGCTTGCTGGTGGCATATTTGTTCTTGACAGTCTGCGGAGAGATTGATCAATAGTTAATAATTTTTGCACCATTGTAGAGTCAACCATATCACTACATATTAGCATAACCAAAGCACACCTGTGCTTAATCACACTGACCTAGGTATAAACCTCGTTTAGTAGCAAGTTAGGACTTACATGTAACCAGACACACAGTGGTATGGTTTTTGCTTACCAGATGCTTTGCATTGCCTCTGTTTACCAACATCACATTCTTTGCCATATGCTGCATAACAGGAATAAGATCAGTCTCGGTATATTGCATGTAGTGTTGTAGAGCTGTTGTCTAAGAGCAAGAAGTTAAGCATTAGAAATCCTTCTGAGTAACACTTGAAGGTCATGGCAGAGCTCAGAATGCCCTATGAACCTCCTCTGCACTTGATCTAGGGACCCTGGCACACATAACGGCATGCTTAAAACCTAGAGGCTTTGTAGCAGAGGCAAGTTTTGAGGCAGATCTTCCAGGGTCACAGCTGATTCTCCAAGCCACTCTGCTCTAGCAATTCTAGCTCACACATGGGAATGAAAGTCATGGAAACAAATACCCAAAGTCATTTTTGGTATTTAGTGGAGGTGAAAAGCGAAGTCTTTTTAACCTTACAAATTTAAGGCTATGTCTCGGCTCAGTTACTTACCCATTCTCCCTCTTCAAGTATTTTAGTAGATAGGCAAAAGGCCGCAGCAGCAATTTGAGAGGGAGGGTAGTGTGCCATGTCATAATCCACCAGTGAGAGCTCCATCAGGTATTTTGCAAGTGTGTGTTGCTGTACATCGGCCTGGAATAGTTAGGGTAAGATAGTATTTATCGCCAATGAACCCTGAAGAACAACAAGGAAGACTCTGCCTTGCATGACATTTCTGCCTATCTGAAGAACTGAATCAAAAGGTTGTGCCTTCACAGCTACACACAGTTAAGACAAAGCAAGATGTTGAGCTTTTTACAGCTTTTTCAGGACAAAACAACACAACTCCATGGCCAATTTTAAATTTGCCAGGCACCATTTTGAACCACAAATGCTCATAAAAGTAGTGATAGCCATTTTTGCTTTCCACAAGTTTGTGTCTTTCAGTTGTTTTGGCCCAACTCCCAACAGTCATGCTGGCTGCAGCCAATGGGACTCACCCACTTGGAACCAGGTTGGAGAAGGCTGGCCTACTGGTAGGATACTGCATACACCTCCTCACGCCAAAAGGAGCCATTTTAGGATTCCAAGTTTGATCTTCCTACACACATATTTGACTCAGGAGTGTCATACTGTGACCTAGTGAGATTGGCATCCTCTTAAACAGCATTACCTCTCCAATTTTTGATGCCCTCCGTAGGAAATGCAGTGGAAGAGGACGACCAAGATTGAAGTCCAGTGATCTCAGGATCTTCATCTCCATTTGCCTAATCTGCACGTTGGTGTAGGTGTTATCTGTCACAAAGGCAAAGTCGCCGATTTCTGGAGGGTACATTTCTTCGTATTTGCTGGCAACGAACATGGCTGTTACACCAACCAGCTGAAGCATCCTCTTATGAACTTTGTTGTTCTGCAATAGAAACAACCGTTAGCCAAACTGGCTAATAATATTGGGGAAGACCACTTACTCCCAAAGCGGACACACTTTTCAGCAAGGAATATTTATGCACTTGTTCCACTGCAAGTTCAATGGTCAACTTCCTGAACTGATAAGCCATCACCAGTCTAGCTACCCTGGGAGAGCTGTGTAGTATGTGCATCTACCAAGCATGCAGCTTTCAATTTAAAAGGAAAGTGCATTGTTCCACGTATGATCAAATTCATACATGGGTGTGGGAAACATTGTGATGCAATGTATTGCCTCCATACAATGCAGCTAAGCCCCTCTGCCTTCTGTGTCCCTGCAGATTCTTAAGGAAAGACAGCTGCAAACAGGCCAAAAAGGAAAAGTGTTGCCATGCTGCTCTTACCTGCATAAAGCGATCAATAATGGCAACAGTCATGTACATCGTCTCTTGCAGGAGTTTGAATTTCATCTGGACCTGCACAAGCCAGTCAATTAGGACTGCCCGCATGTTCCCAGTAATTTCCTGGCCTGCCAAGTAGTTTGGTCTCACTGACTGCTGAGCCTGTGAAGAAAACAACAGATGTCAAATCATGTTTACCCGCACAAATGAAAAGAAAGGAAGCCTTGTTGCAGCTGAAGCTGACGTGTCGCCACCATTCATTGCTTTTGAACTAGCAAGTTCCTTGCCCCCAATTTTATAAACTGAGTTTGGATTCCATTGATATTTTGCAAGCACAGCAAGGACACACAAAGAGCAAGACCCCTAGCTGCTGCTGTCATTTGGGGGGGGGCACCTGCTGTGCACAAACTTAAGTAGTGACATTTCCTAGTTAACTTAGATTTGGAAGAAACCTCAGTTTCCAGAGGCATGCATCAGGCTTGCCTTAGCTACTTGAACCAACCTCAAGATCTCTCAGGTAGTTGTAGATATCCTTCACATATTCGCTGCAAAGGTTTGGATCTGAAGCATCATCTGTATCAATGTCTTTCACTTCAAGCAGAACATCTGAAAAGGCCTGGCACAGTATTTCCTCTGCTGGTGCACAACCAGAAGTCTCCATTGGGCTGGGGGATGGAGACTCCAACTGTTGAAGAGAGGTTTTCACTTATTAATATCTGAGCTACAACACTACATGTCTCCTTGGATTGTGGAACTCATGCCAGCATACATGGGACTGCAACTGGGCTCCTAATTCAGGACTCAGACCTGTTTAGCTTCAGCAAGGTGGCTGCATCATGAGTCCTCTGACCACTCTCTATAGATTGGTAGGCAAAAGGTATATGTGGTCTCTGTATAACTGCCCATTTACAAGTCAACTGCAGGTCTCTGCTGCATCCATGTCAGGGTTAGGGGAATCTCAGGCCTAGAGGCCAAATGTGGCCTATTGGTCTTTAGAATTTCCCCAGATCACATGTCTTAAAGGCCCTGATTTGCTCAAGTGTTTTTGTCTGCCTCGAATGTGTCCTAGAACTATTTTGCCTGTTGTCTGGGGAGGAGTGTGTGTGTAAGCCACACTATAGTGCAAAGGTAAATTTCTCATTTGTTGCCCTGCCCATATGGCCCACAAATGCTGACCAGAAGGGAAATGCCAGACTCCCGATCAATATTTTGTATAAGAGCATTGCATGGGATGCAGAGCTACTTGTGTGTTACTGACCCAGGTGTAATCATGATGCTAATGGGCATAGAAGCATAAAGGGATCCAGTAGTCCATACCCAGGCGGCAGGAAGAACTAAGCTATAGCCCAAAAGGGGTGGGAAAGAACAGTAGTAGTAGTGTGGGAGGTCAGAAGCAAGTGCTAAGGATTCAAATATTCACCTTAAGTCAGATACTGGATTGAGTATTGGACTTACAACCAAAGGGATTGCAACTAAAGATTCAAAAGCCCATTGTAATAGACATGGTTTGTCTCATGTTTCTGCATCTAGGGGGGGAATCCACAATACTATATTCACAGAGTTTATTTTCTTAAGAGAAAATCAGTATTAATTTGGCAGCAGGAAATACCCAGTGGTGTTTTGGAGACCACTGAACACACACTTTGCAAGCCCTGGAAGAAAGTTGTTTGCCATTAAAGTAAATTGTTCAGACAGCCTTAAGTTTGACAATGTAGCCCACCCAGGGGCTAAAACCCAAGCCTCAGTATGCAGACTGCCAATTATTGCTAAGGGTAGCTAATGAATGCTCAAAAATAGCTGTTTCAATATCAAGAGACAACACATACTTATATAGCATATATGTGCAACATATATAGCAAAAGTGTTATTCATAATCCTTCACCCCCATGCCCCACCCAACCATAAAGCTAGGGCTATCATTTGCAAGTCATTTGATACCTTAACGGGTTCAAGGATGGGTTTTTCTTCCTTCACAGATTCATTTGGCTGTTCAGTAGGTCTTGTGACTTTTTGAGTTGTAACTTTGTCCAAAACGGCAGGTTTCAGTATTTCCTGGGCGAGGGAATAGAAGTGGGTAGAGGGAGGAATCATTGCAGTAGCCCTGATAGTTCCCAATGTTAAGCTCTACTTGGAAGGGGGGGGGGAGGGAAGGAGACACTTACCTTTTTCATTACAGCCTTGGCTTTTGCTTCACATGCCTTGTTGCCAATGTCCCCCAAGGCAGTCCTAGGCCTCAAGCCGGGTCTGGCACCATCGCCTCCCCGCTTGGTTGCCATTACAGCCTTGATTTTGTTCTCTGCATTGATCTTTGTGTTCTGCAGGAAGGAGGAAGACCCCGTTTAAGTACCTCTCTGTTTCACAAACACAAGGAAGCATTTGCACAGCTTTATGATAAAGCTAGGATGGGAAGGAATAAGAGTTCTGAACCTTACACGCTTCCCTACCTTAAAGCCCTCCTCCTATCAATTTTGATGAGACACAGTACTAATTAAGCAGAAGCCTTAGCCAATTCACAACTGGTAAAACTCAACAAGCCAGGGCAACGCCCAACTCCCCCCCCCCCAAAAAGGGTCTGGGAACCGATTCACTAATTCTGGTAGGCAGAAAAAACTCGACACAGCAGTATAATTCCGTTTTTCAAATGGCAATTAGCAGTTACTAGCACCACCGCCCCTTACTTCCTGTGAAACAGAAGCTTATGCACGTTTCCTCGGGAGTAAGCCCCATTTATACGCCTGCATAGGACTGCAGCCTTAAGTTTGCCACCTCCTGCAAAAAAGAGGACGCAGCAGGAAGCCTGAAAAACAACAAAATTCCCCCCCTCCAAAAGCCCCTTTCCTACCCGGGTGACCCGCAAAGCCATGATCCAGACTAGCTCCGCGCAACACGAGATGTTAATCCGAACCAGTCGCCTCTGCTCCCAGCAAACTCCCAGCGGCCGATTCCTGCTGCGCACGAGTCCGACGGCCGCCCCACCTACCGCCGCAAGTTTAAAACTCGCACCAGGCTGCGCTCATTGGCTGCCTCTCTCGGCGTCCGCCGCTTCCCATTGGCCGGGCGGCGTTACACCCTGAATGCGTTTCCACGGCTACAAGGAGGATGACTTCTCCGGGCGTTCGAAAAGGGGGGCGTGGCGAGAAGATGCGGAAGGTCACGTGGAAAGGATGGCTCGCTTTCAGTTTGAGAGCTCAGCTGGTGGACAAGGGGGAATTAAATAGGTGGAGCCGTTTGCTTCTCATCTAGAAAAGTACCTCCCGGATATCAAGAAATCAATCCAAACTATTATAGTTCTCCTTGTGGGACTGTGTTTCTGAGTTGCGCGACCTCTCCCGCTTGCTTACGTGCGCCGGATTTTGAACTCCCATTGGTCCATATATATTTTTTTTACAAAAATAAGTTGGGTAAAGCCGAGCGCATTTGCACACGAATGTTTTGGACTACAACGGCTTTCCAGACCCACTTGTAATTTTAATAGCGTCACCATAGGAAGGAATGCAACAGCCGCAGGTTTTTCCTACCCTATGCTGGGAAATGTACGCTGATGGAATCTTTGTTTGTCATACAAGCGTTGAAAAGGATAAGGAATAAATCCCTTAGGACTAGGCAAGCGTAGAGGAAAAACGAGGATAGGCTGAGGTCTCTGGCTCACCTCTGCCATGAATTCAGTGGGTAGCCTTTAACAAGCATTAGCATCTTTGCCTCAGCCCCTACCCTAACACTGCAATATGGGGACAGTAACCTACATTGCAGGATTATTGTAAGAATTAAATCAATATACTGCATCTGTAGTGCATCAAACACTTAAAAGTGCTATATAAATGCTGTTAACAATTTTCCTTCCTCCCCAAAACTGAACAGTCTCAAGTTATTACAGTGGTACCTCGGGTTACATACGCTTCAGGTTACAGACTCCGCTAACCCAGAAATAATGCTTCAGGTTAAGAACTTTGCTTCAGGATGAGAACAGAAATCGTGCTCCGGCGGCGCAGCGGCAGCAGGAGGCCCCATTAGCTAAAGTGGTCTTCAGGTTAAGAACAGTTTCAGGTTAAGTACGGACCTCCGGAACGAATTAAGTTCTTAACCAGAGGTACCACTGTATAAAGTATTTGGGGCGACAGCTGTATTATACAGTCCTGGTTACATTGTAGCTATTAACATGTCACTTCCTCCAAGGAACTCAGTCAGCATGTCATAGCCACTGAGCATGCTCAGTCCATCCTGTTTTAGGGTTTCTCCCCTACCGATTTTTAAAAATTGTTACAGCCTTCATGGTCAGAGGCCATGAATTGTTACAGCCTTCATGATAAGTATGTTTCTGGATACTAATTGGTGGGAAAAAAGCCAGGCAGAATCCAGCATAGTTGATTTGGCAATCTTTCGAATGTCTACATGGGGGTGGGTTTAGAAAGAGGGCGCTATTTTCCTTTAGATCTCTTAATATTGGGAATTTTATTTCCAGGCTATCATCATTTGAGCCTATTCTGGCATTCATATCTCCCATTAGGTAAAATGGCGAGCCAGGGTACCTAATTTGTAGGGAATAAAGGAAACTATGGAATTTACGCCACGTGCTCTCTATCTGTGTTTGCACTGTATATGGTGGAATATAAGCTGAAACAAGAATAATACTCTTGGATTCCATACGCAAGGTGATCCCCAGTGCCAGCTGCTCGAAAACTGAGCACTCAATAACTTGTGACGCCAATTGAGTGGAAACCAGAGTTACTAGGCCCCCCCTCGGTCGTCCCCTTCCAAGTGGTTTAGAGGCCTTGATTTCATAGACGTCGTAACCGTCGAGAGCTATGTTATCAGTTGCCCAAGTTTCTTGCAGCATTATTATGTCAAAAAATCATAAATAATCATAAATCATATTTTGTTACATTGTGCGAAGTATGAGCAGGCCAGGGCTGAACTGATACTACCCTTGCTGGTGCCTTTCCTGGGAAAGTCAGAGGCTCACTATGTCAGGTTCCTACTGGAAGACCGGACAAAAGCTAGAACGTTGGCAGTGGCAAAGTTTTTATCGGTGGTTGCAAGAACAAATGAGCCCTATATTCCAAACAAAGTGCTTGATTAACCTGGAGGTAGGCTGTATGAACTCTGTATTGATTTGTAATGTTTTGTTGGTCTCTGGACCGTAATAAAGATTGTTGTTGTTGTTGTTGTTGTTGTAATTGGTGGAAAGCACAGGAGGGGAGAGTACTCTTGTGCGCTGGTGATGATGATGGAAAATGAAATCAAGCAGGAAATGTTGCAGCAACCTGTATTTTCAGTTACCCTCACATGTACCAAATAAATGTGATCCTATCACAAAGAGGTAAAGTTTCTAGATATCCAAAATGACCAGGCCCTAGAATAGAAGTGAGGAGAGGGTCAGTAACACTGAACATAATCTTAAGTGGTGTGATGTTGAATGAACTGAGAACAGCAAGCACAGTACCACTGAATTCTACATGTATGGAAGTGGGCAATTACCCCTAAAAGTCCAGCGGTTCCACATTTCACTTCCAAAGAGGGAGCTTCCCCAAAAGACTGATAAAAGTCAACAGTGCCAAATCTCTCCTGAATACTTGAGGGTTTCAAAACCACAATAATAGAAATATAGTCAAAATATACAACATAGATCAAGGCCAAGAGGATGCCAGTGTGGTAAACAAGTAAAGTCTAGGAAGCTACTAGAAGGCGGCTTCCTTCAGAAAATGGAAGTTCAATGGAAAAAAAGCACAAATTTTGGCAAAAGAAATACAGCCGACTATAAGGGGTGCAAAAAAAAAAAAAGGTTTATTGATTTATCTGTCTCTAGAAGGGAATCAAATATATACTAAAGGAGGAAAACTGCAGATAAATCTTTGCATCTCTCTTCACTACAGAATCCCTATGCCTGAACTAACTCTCTCAAGGAGGAACTGAGGCAAATAGTGCTGACAAGAGATGAAGTCCTGGGCATTATGTATTTATTTTTATATCAGAACCTTCCTCCAAAGGAAGCCCAGGGCTATTGAATTAAAAACAAAACATATATATATATATATATATATATATATATATATATATAAAACCAGGTCCAAATAGTATCCATCCATGAGTTACTGAATAACTAAAATGTGAAATTGCTGATTTTCTAACAAAAAATATGTAACTTGTCCCTAAGATCAGCCTCCATACCAGAGAACTGAAAAGTAATCAATGCGACACCAATCTTTAAAAAAGTATCCAGGTGGATTCAGAAAAGTACAAGGTTAGCTTAAGGTCTGCTCTCAGAAACTGGTGAAAAGCATTATTAAAGACAGAATTAGCAAATAAACAAGTCTTGCTGAAGAACTGCAATGACAATCTAATCTCATGAATTTAGAGTCTCCTGTGTATGTTTAGCAGTCTTGGAATGTAAAGAGAGATACTCTTATGGAATTGTTATAAAAATTCTCGTGTCTCAAATATAGAATAAATGTTCATAAATGCACACGGTAAACACACATTCAAGCCACATGTCTGAAATAGTACAGAACAATCCTGAAGTCACCTTGACTCTTAATGACCCCAAAGATTTTGTCTGAAGAAGGAATTATCTTGGAGAAGTTCTTTTCACTTACAAATCCTACATATTCTGTCCTTGAGGGCATATTTTTTATATGAATAGGGTATGCCTGGGACCTGGATCCAAAAACTAAAGCATCTCAAAAGAATGGCCAGACTGCCTAGGTAGGGCAATTTCAAAAGTCTTTAAAGGGTATTACAGACTTTGGTCCTCACCTCCTTGGGGGGGGGGGGGACTCTGTTGCAACAGAAAATAAAGGGTTTCCTTGCTTTCACTGGATCCTACCTCTCTGACTGATAACGGTTTTAGGGAACACTGAATCCCTGTAAAAGTCAACCCCATTTTTTCTGTAACAGTAGAGTAGGAATAAATTGAAAGTTCTTACACTGCTGGGATACGAGAAGCATGGTCTACCAATGGTTGGTATTGGGACATGTGCTTTTTAAATTGCTATGCCAGAGATGGTGGTTTGTTACTCCTGCTGGCTAGAGAGAAGACACAAAGCAGGAACAATCTCCATTTTTACAATAAATCATTAACTACAGACTAGGCCAGTTAAGAAGAAACTCATACAGAACTAAATTGTCTCATCACTGGGACATCTTTCTATCCTATAAGTCAAGTTTTAAGGTGTAATCAATAATATGTCACTAGAAATATATAAAAATTATAAAATGTTTATTTTACATAGTGGTTCAAATTTCCAATTAGTTATTCAACTTTCCCACTGAACAGAAACATAGGAGTGCAAAAACAAAGAATGTATTTTATACCCCTGACTAACTGTTAAAATAACTTTTCTTCTTTAAAAAATTAGCTCAGCTCAGTGACAATTTTTAATTGGTAGAATCTATTTTTCCTTATTTAACAAAGCTGTGCTTAGAAAATAGGATTATATACAGAACTGGTATATAAAATTGTACATATTCATTTGTATCTAATGAACTTTGAAAAACCCATTTTAAAAATGTGTAGATACACATACACATACAGCAGCAAAATAACTCTGAAGATGCCATTTTTTGGAGTCTGGCTATTTCTGTTGCAACCTAAAATTATTTTCTTTAGGCTTGAGATGGTAGAGAAATGCTTGATATTCATTTTGGGGGGAAATGTGCAATATAGTTGTGCTCATCCACAATCACATAGCAAAAGTTCTTTAATAGACACCAAATAACAGTATTTTTACATTGCCAGTATTTCCACATATACAGCATATGTTCTACTTATCCCACCTCTTCTTAAATCTCTTGATCTTATTTTTAAAGGTATGTAACATTTTCTAAAAATCCAAATATATACGGCATTTGTTTCTGTACATTTATGTGCAAATTCACCTGATGAAATACAGACAGTGAACCCTACAGATTCAGCTTCCGGTTACATGATGTAAGTGCCATCTTTGTAGTATTTCATGGATTCCATTTGTTTTGTCATTGCAAGGACATCT